AAACGGTTTCGTCCTTGTATGCCAAAAATACTTAGTTTTTGATCTTTTCCGAAACATCACCTTCTGCGAATGGGTTCATTATGAATTCCAAGATAGGCTCAAGATTCTTAAATTGTTGGAAACGAGAATTAAATTCGTCATTTATAACATTTTCTTTAAATTTGGGAAGTACATAGTTGAATTTCTAAGTAAATGGGATTTCCATAGATTCAGTTTGGCTTTAAATGTATTCACCGATCCAACCATTTTCGAAACATGTCGATTTTTTCCTTGCATTTCCAGGTTCTGCTCCTTCAGTTTTATTGTTATATCAGTGAGAAACCCCAAATCTGCAAGCCATGAGGGATGAGTCAACTGTGGATAAGCTTCCTTTCTCGTTGCCATGAACTAACAAAAATCATGTATAACGTCTATGTCACACCTATGCCGGTAGTTGTTGGGAGCATTAAGCTCGAAGTTGGTGACGAGTATGTTTACCTGGAACAAATAGTCCGACTAGGTAAGTCCAACTTCGATCGAGAGCCCCATCGACGGATTCATCTTCTCGTCAGGCATGTCTCAAAACTTGAAAGCGAAACTGTACGACCAGTGAGTGTTACCACTGATGACCTATGGGACTGTGACGTGGTCCTTCACTGCTGGCCAGATGAGGAAGCTCAAGGTACCTCAGCGAGCTAAGGAGAGGGTTATGCTCGGAGTTTCTCTGCGTGATAAACTTAGAAATGAGGATATCCGCAGTAGAAGCAGAGTGACTGACATAGCCCAACGGATTATTAAGCTGAAGTGGCAATGGGTCTGCCATATAGCTCGAAGAACCGACAACCGATGGGGAAAAAATGTTCTCAAGTGGCAGCCTCATACCAGCGGGCGAAGTGTAGGAATGAAGATGCAGGAAGTCGAAGGATGGAGGTGGCTCAGGACCGTGCTTTGTGGCATCCCTTGGGGGAGGCCTATGATCAGCAGTGGACTTGTGAAAGGATGTAATGATGATTTATTAACCGAGCGTGACAGTTCCAAATTTTTGTGTTAAATAATATATATTTTTAGATCCATTGAAATAAAGTTGCATTATATGATGATTACATACTGTCCATAATTTACACAAAATCATACTCTCATGCTACACATGTCAAGCTATACTATGTGTTCATTTCATGAATGCCGTTACCTCAAGTGTTAAAGGCAGTGATACAAAAACGAACGATTTCGATAAAATAACTTGTATCCATGTTATCAATGCGTAAATATCCTTCGTAAATAATTCATTTAAATTGAATAATAAAACTAAAAAAAAAAAAAAACATGCGTGAGTGTCGGGGAACACTCGGTTGGAACGAAGTTCCTTATTATTGATAAACGTATTATATTATTGATTAACAAATACAAATAAATGTATTACTAGCGTCTATTAAAATGAAGCGTCATGTAAAATAAAATACACTATGACACAAGGGGTAGTGACGAAAAAGTTTTACACTTTTTGTCGCCTAGCTCCTATCTGCCAAACCTGTACCGTCCGATAAGTAACTTCGTTCCAATATTTTATTTTATTGGACACGTTTCTATTCAGTTATTATTTTACTTTACTAACTAAATAAATTATTCAATAATATGTATTTTATCAACTTGCTTGTCCTCCATTTCTCTGTACAGGGCAACAAACTAAAAATAGAACTTCTTACAATTAAATACTTACAGTAATAGTTTTGTATACGGTACCGTCAGCTGTGACGTATGAAACTCGAAATGAATTAGTTGAAAAGAAAAGAGAAAAGAATAATAACTTATGTAATTACTAATTATTCTAAGATTAAACTATAGAAATTATTGAGAAATGATCGTAACTTGTAAAAGTATGGTGTGGCTAAATTCCTCGTATGCAGTCCAATAAAATCCATTGCAAGGCGAAAAAAAAGTAATGTCAAAAGTCAAAACTGTAGTAAAATTGGTTTTTACTTGGAAATTTCACGATTTATTTTTGTTTGAGGATATAATAGTATTTATTAACGAATTGCGCCACATTCAAAAACATTATTATTCTCCCTTAAAGCGGTAACAAAGTGAGATAAAGTGATATAAGAGTGAGTTATCATTTTGTAATGATTTGAATTTGTATTATTTATGTGCTAAGTCGATACTGCTGAGTAATTTTGTGAACGATCTCCAAGTCGCTTTGTCAGGCTATTGTCACACTGCCAAGTTCATTGGGTGCTGGATATCGCAGAGCAGACTAAACTAACTACGTCTTTTCCCAGTGCGTGCTGCCTGCGTTTAAAACAGTTAATCTTATCGTTAACATTCACTTACCAGTATATTCCTGCTTAATACAATTCTGTGGTAACTAGCTGACTGGTAAATTTTTGTGTGTGTTTCGAAAGTTAACCAAGGCTACAGTTTCCTTATAATTAAATACTGCCTAATTAAATATAGGTACATAAAATTAACCTGTGGTTTCAGTAACCTTTCAATTTTGGCACTACTGACTTTTAAAAGAGCTTACATTTTGAGCACTATCGGTCAGCGGCAGTGCATGTGTGAATCGGCACCAGTTATGAAAAAGCTTATAACCAAATGAGACTACTCATCTCAATTCTGTAATCATCATCATTACAGCCCTTCACAAGTCTACTGATGAACATAAGCTTTCACTAAGAATGCCACAAAACACAGTCCTGAGCCACCTGCATCCATCAACTTCCTGCATGTCTTACCAGGTCGTCACTCCATCTAGTGGGGGGACACCTTACACTTCGTCTGCCCGTACGAGACTCTTTTTTCCCCATTGGTGTCGATTCTTTGAGCTATATGGCCAGCCAAATGCCACTTCAGCTTATTAATCCGTTGGGCTATGTAGGTCACTGTGGTACTACTGCAGATATCCTCATTTCTAAGTTTATCACGCAGAAAAACCCCAAGCAAAGCCCTCTCCATAGCTTGCTGAGCCTTGAGCCTCCTCATCCGGCCAGCAGTGAAGGACCACGTCTCAGTTCCATAGGTCATCACTGGCAACACACACTGGTTGTGTAGTCTCATTTTCAAGGTTTGAGGTATACCTGACGAGAAGATGTGCCGTAATTTCCCGAATGCTGCCAAGCCGAGTTGAATCCATCGACTGACCGTATTTAGATTCGTAATGACTCTCGAAAACAACACGTAGATGCGGCTCAGAAGGGAAATCGGTCTATAGTTCTTCAAGAGAATGTTGTCGCTTTTCTTGAAGAACAAGACCACCGCACTTCTGCTTCACGCCTCCGGTGTAATGCCACCATTGAGGACGGAAATAAAGAGCTTCTGAAGGATTTCAAGTACCGGTTTTTCACCCGCTTTCAGAAGCTCCGCTGTAATTCCAACCTCACCTGGGGCCTTGCCGTTTTTAAGGTGCTGGAGAGGCATTCTAATCACGCTCAGACTGACATCCGGTCTGTCCACTTCCTGCGGGGCCTTCTTTCTCCATGAAGTCGGCCAGCTGCTGGCCCCTTGGGTTCTGTTGCCCTATTCCAAATTTCCTTACTTTGAGCTCACCATTCTCTCTTGTGCCTAGTTTTGCATTGATGTCTCAAATTAACACCTTATAGTGGTTTTTGGAGGAATGCATGGCTCTAGATATATCTTCAATCCTCATACATTTCCTTCACCTCCTCATCGGGATATGCTGAAGTTGGTGCGTAAACCTGTATGACCATTTGGTGATTCTGAGTATAAGGTATGCAACCCTCGTCGACACACTCAATCTTTACAATGTTGTTAACAAGAAACTTGTGAACGATAAATCCAAATCCTTGGGACAGATGGTTGCCCACTTGGTGATAGAACAAGTTACTTACCATGTCTTCCCCCTCTCTTTGGACCTCAGATAATCTTAAAATATTCCAGCGCAACTTCCAGTTCTAGGATGTTCTCATCAGTCCTTAGGGTGCGTGCGTTATATGTTGCCAGGTTGAGTCGTCTTAGGTGGCAACCGAACCTGGGGGGTATGTTGCCATAATTACCACGCTTGGGGAGCGGGTTGGCAACTGCAGTTTTTTTTATTGTTGTTTTGCTGTTATCAGAAAGATGCTGCTGTCTATCTTCTGCCTCAGTTTCCCTTTGTCGCCTCTGACGACACCCACGGAAAGATATGGGCCACTACCCCATACCCTGTTTTCTTACCCACCACTACACGGGGCAATTCTGAAAATTGTGATATAATTATGATAAATTTTTCTGTTACCATATTTTTTTAGTTAAATTACAATTCTATATAATCTACATAGCAAAAACAATACTTCATACTAACAAAAACAAATTAGAACACTTAGTGTCACCCATTTGCTATAAAAATTGCCACAGAAAAATTATGAAAAGTTAAAGTCAATATTGCATGTTGGAAAAGGTTTTTAGTGTACTTTATTGTTGCAATCAATTCAGAATTTACTGTCCACAGTCTAAAATTATATTCAAACAAATTTAAAAGTTAAAGTTACAGTTACTCATTTCTTAGAGGGTTTTTTGGGAAGGAAATGTTCGCAACTCTGCCCCAATGCATGTTGGCGAACCTCATATGTCTTGGAAATTTTTTTTCTTATTTCTCAAACATGCAGGATTCCTGACAATGTTTTCCTTCACCGCTGAGCATGTGGGTAAATCAGCTCATAAAATTGCAATTAACAATTTCATTGGTGCTGGCAGGGATCGAACCCGGGTTGCATGCTTGAAATTTACAGTGAGCACTAACCATCTAAGCTACCACAGCTCTAAACGAATATAGTCTGCGTCTTATTGTAATTTGCGGTTACAATGGGCTGGGTAAAATTCAGCCTAAAATTAATCTATAGCCAATTCATTGTGAATGGATATGAAAATCACATTAATAAAGGAAACTCTCCAACTTCTGTTCTGCCTGTTTTTAAGTAATTATTAAGTGTATTTTAAATTATTATTAAATGTATTTACATTTGAAAGTTAAGTATTTGGTTCATAACTTAGACGTAATATTTACAGGTACATGAGGTCAGCTTCCAATGATGTCACTAAAACCTAGAAATGTGGACTTTCAGGAGACATGGGCAAGCCTTAAAGAAACGGTTTGTTGCAATTTTTTTCTAATTATTATAGAAAATGCAATCAACAATGACACTTAATTATTTTTTCTGCCGACTTCCAAAAAGGAGCCGGTACTCAATTCGACTGTATGTTTTTTTTTTTTTCGTTTTTTTTTTTTTTTTTTTTTATGTGTGTTACCTCAGAACTTTTTTCTGGGTGAACCGATTTCGATGATTCTTTTTTTATTTGAAAGCTGGTACTTCTCGTGTGGTCCCATATGAATTTGATCAAGGTCAGACCAATAGTTTTTAAGTTATTCTTAAATAACTTATATTGAAGTCGGCTGTACAAAATTTTTAATTTTAAATTATTAAAATATAATATTTTTATTTATTCAAGTAATGATAGCCATCTTTACTTAAAATAAAACCAAAATCCTACTTAAGTTGCATTCAAACTTAAGTCCTATTATGTATTACAGGTAGCAGGTGTAGTGGCATTACAGGCAGTAGAACGTGCAGTTTGGAATATGCGCTTCTCTGATGTATATGCATTATGTGTAGCACATCCTGAGCCTCTAGCAGACCGTCTTTATGATGAGACTAGGTGAGGATTTTATTAAAGAGGAATACTGGTTAAGCTATTAATATTACTACCAGTCATAAGACCACTCCAAGTCAATTTAAAATGCCTTTGTTAGGAATGGTTTACCTCAGTAGTTGAATGGTGGATTTGGACTTATTTTTTTTTTCACTTCAATATTATAATAAACATCGTAAAAACACCAAGAGCATTCACCTCATTCCCAGAGTTCAATGAAATTAATTTATGTAATACTTTAAAGTATAATTATTAATTAACATAACAGAAAAAAAGAAATATTGATATTTCCCGTCTTATTCAACATTATTCTCACTCTTCAACAATTATTCTCACTCTTCAACAATTATTCTCACTCTTCTATCTCACTGTAAAAATTTAGGTGAAAACTTTTTCGATATCGATGGCGTAAATTTTTACGTCTCGAACTATCGAAATTGCCGCTCCAACCAATTACGTGCGTTAATGTTCTCACTGTCGAATGCGAGTCAATGCTCAATGGTGATTCCGATTATTGCCACTAGTTGGCGCTGATTTTATTTCATACAAATCGTAGTTAACTTTCTTGGGATCGAACACGTAAAAAAAAACTCGCACTAGGCACACAGTTCTGTCTGCTATACTTCAGATTATTTAGATGCCCGGAAGAGGCTCATAACCAAATTATACAGGCCAAGTTAATAAAAGCGTGTTATATAGAGTAAAATATATTTCTAAGAATGCTGCTGTTACATTTAATAATAACTTATAAATATTATTACTGGACTGATCATTGTATGACTTTAATTTATTGTTATTTGTGTGATAGTTTTAATTTGAATATTATTTAATATTAGTATACCTAAGAGTTACAAGCACCAAACCTGAATAATAAGTTTAAGATCTATTGTCTTAGATAGCCTGTATTAACAAATAAATACATTTGATTTTTTATGGTAATATTTCGTAAATAATAACTATTATTATTTTTGAAACAACGAAAGTAATGTTTTGTTTTCATTATGATATGATAAACTCTCACGCCTGTCGCTCAGTTGGGTAGGCAGAGTCCAGTTCACTTAGCACAATGTTCATACACCTCTTTCGCTTTTTTCACGTCCATATATCTACACATAAGCGCCCGTCAGCTTCTTAACTTGGCCCATCTTTAATATACTTCAGAAAGGAGGAGTTACTCAATTCGTCTGTATGTTTTTTTTTATATGTGTTACCTCATAACTTTTTTCTAGGCGAACCAATTTCGATGATTCTCTTTTTATTTGAAGGCTGGTGCTTCTCACATGGTCCCATATAAATTTGATCAATGTTTTAGTAGTTTTTAAGTTATCCTTAATAATTTATATTGAAATTGGTTGTACAAAATATTTAGTTTTACCACTTGTTAATATATCGATTTGGTTTAAGACGTAATTTGCTGACTCTGCCACATTCCGTCTCTTTTCTCATTTATTTCTTCTATGTATCAAAATCACTGAAGCATTCCTTTCTTAATCCTGGTCACAAAATCTTGCAAACCACACATTTCTCTTGTCACATAATTCCTCACCCCACCATTCAGTCACCCCTTATAAACTTTTAATGACCGCATTTCTACAGCATCAATTTACTTTCATGCTTCTGCTGCCACACCCAACTTTGACTACCTTACGTTAAGGTGGGGACTATCTATCACAGTATTATGAATTTTCATATTGTGTCTTTATTGGTACATTCTTCCCATATTAGAGTGAAGGGCCCCATTTACTCTGTCCTGCATTCATTCTTCGTTCTATCCATGCCATGTCTACTATCCCTGCGAAACACACTTCTTAAATACACAAACTCAGTTACCTACTTATTCATTGCTTTAATATAAATTTATAGTGTGTCTACACTTATCACAAACTAAGTTATATTAGTTTCATTAATATTAAGAAAGTAGTAAGGTGACAAGCTGAAAAAGCCTTATTACTTTGCTGTATTACCTGAAACATGATATTTTATTTTTCAGAAAATTTTTGGAAGAGCATGTATCGGGGCTTTTACAGCGAGTTCGCGGGAACTCGCCTCTCGAAAGCAGTGATTATAATGATGGACTGCTCACCAGGTGTGCTCTCATTTTTTCATTTATTTTATTATTTTTTGTCCTGCTGTACAACAAGAAAGTGTTGTTGGGAACAAGGATTATATCTATTGTTTACTTGAAAATCTCATGTCAATTTTGTTTTTTTTTAATCAGTTGAGTACTGCAATGTAGTGGCGGTATGGAAATCCACAACCCCAAAACCCCGCGGGTGTTGTATAAATAACAGAAACTGAATTTAATATTAATATGTTTATTAAGCAAAATAACAGCAACAAAGGGGAACTAGTCGGACTCACTCGCAAGAAGGAAGAATTAATGTTGCCATTATATATAAAAAACGGAATACCAAAAACGTTGTCACATACAAAAATGAAAATAGTTTGGAAAATCCAAAAGTGCACGCCTTATGAGCGTTTAATTTAGTTTTGATGTAAAAAAAATACCAAAATAAATCTGTTACACAAAGTAAAATCGATATAGGCTGTATGGTACATTTTCAAGGGCTAAAGACAAAAATGAAAGCACCCTTAAATTTTTAATAGCAATAAAACTTTATAATCAGTTTGTTAACAAATGACGCGTACTAGGTTTTTTAAAATGAAATATTAAAAAAAAAACCTAGTACGGCTATTTATATGAAATAGGGAACCAGTTGATGTAATTCTAAAGCTAATAAATGAAAAACCGGTCTCGATACGTCAATTTATTCGTGAATTATCGTGACCACTTACAAAATCAACATCTAGACGTCCACGTAAAATTTCTTTCAAATCGTTTTTTATATAAAAAAAAGTTTTCTTGTTATACTGTTACTCATATCGTTTAAGTGCAATATGGTTAGAATAGAGGCATTTTAAGACCACAAAATTGCTTGAACTTGACATGTTGAGAGTAATGCACTACCTAATAACGCTTGGCGTTATGAGGCGTGCAATAAGTCTATGTTCATGTTCAGCAGTGTATCGAGGGTCGTCGTAAAAAGCGACAAGAGAACCTGATACAGTTTTTTTATAGAATAAGGGTGACAAACGAGCACACAATCCACCAGATCGTAAGAGGATGCTGTGGCCCACAGACATGTACATCTATCCTGGACTTCAGAATCAAAATCAGGAAGCTTTTTCACTCCTGTAGGACTAAGATGGAATTTCCAGTAAAAAGGGTTCCCAGTTCTCTACACTCACCAAACAAAACACAGAAGCATTAAGCTGCTATTTTACGCTGGTATTCTGTGAGAGCGTGGTCTTTCCTCAGTCAAGCTGAACAATGCCTGCTACAACCATAATATAGCTGCAGCGTAACTCTACCATGTAAAAAGATTCATGATATATAAAACAATGTACAAGTTTGTGGTATATACATCTTCTTGAATAATTACTGTGACTGTAGTTTTTATCAACCATAAACTGTGAAACATTATTAGTTTTTTTTTTAATTTATTAGGTATGTGGCAGCATGGCGGGAGTACAGTCAGGGTGTAGCATATCTCAACAGTCTCTATTCTTATCTTAACCTGCAACACGTCAAAAGACAAAAGGTAACATAAATTTATTAATAAATTTAGATAGATAGTCTTTTATTTTACAGAACAGACAAAAGTATTCATGTTTTAATGAACAAAATTAAATAAAGTAACAATTGGAGATTGGAGAGGAAGCAAAGTACTGATTATCAGTTACCACCCTAATTCTAATATTAAGTACATTGTTCTAGGTATCTGATGCTGAAATAATATATGGTTCATCGGCAACTGTTACCTGTCCTGAACACGACTCTAGGCAGTTGGAGGTAATAACTTTAAATATGTTTCGAATATGAATTGTGTTATTTTTTTAAATTGAAATTTACATCTAAATTTTTATGGGATGATGATTGCATAATATCATATATTCTACTGCCTATCAAAGGGTTGATAATGGAAATAATATTCTGCTGTAACCAACATAGTATGCATATTATTTTCGACATCAAATCGTTTTCTCTAATTAATAGTACTATCTCAACGAAATATTTCCTTCTCTAATAAAGTCAGTAAGTTTTATCTTGTAAATAAATTAACTATTATGAATGAATATACCTATAATATTCATTCATAACAGTTAATTTATTTACAAGATAAAACCTTGATCATGGTCATTTATGCCTTTCGTAAAAGCTTAGCTTAGCAGTGGTAGCTCAGCAGAGCCGTTGTAGTTTAGCAGTTGTGGTAGCTTAGCAGAGCCGTGATAGCTCAGGGGAGCCGTGGTAGCTCAGCAGAGCCGTGTTAGCTTTGCAGAGCCGCGGTAGCTTTGCAGAGCTGTGGTAGTTTTGCAAAGCCGAGGACTTCTGAAATTTTTAAAATACTGTACATTAATCACCACGAGCTCGGCGGTGAAGGAACTAGAGACATTGTGAGGGAACCTGTATTGCAAACCTGTCAATTCGCATTGGAGCAGGGCAATGGATTTCACTCCCTGCTCTATGACCCTCAGAAATGCGAGAAGTTTTGTGCTCTGCAGTGGAATATATTCTATGCACGTTTAATTGTTCCTGAAATAACCCTTTTATTTTTAGGTAGGTGAGCTGGGTCTTGTCACCTGGGAGCGCGTTCTAGTCAAACCACTTTCCGGCGCACTAACTTCTAGGATCGTAGCAGCTCTATCCGCTGCACGGGATTCCCCGCTTGAAACCGCTTTAGCCGACGTATTGCACGCAGCGATTCATAGCGCCGTACATGCCCAGGTAAGAAAATATTAAAGTGATTAAACAGTGATATTGCCACTTGGCTCGGTATCGCAAAACATCCGATTCGTATAGAATAACAACGGGGTTAGCCTCGTTGACTTTCTACAATCTATAACGCTAATAGAAAAAACTGTGAAATTATTTTATACAGACATGACATATCTGCGTACAGTAATATTTTATGGAATAATTTGTCAGCATCTTTCTTTACATACAATTACAATGTGGGTGGAAACACCCGAGAGTGAATAGGTTATTGTTAAGCTAAACCTTTGTAGTGTAGTGGCGGTGTAAGAATATCCACTACCCCATATCGTCCCGTGGGTGTCGTAAGAGGCGACAGCGGGAAATTAAAACGAGAGATGGGCAGCAGCATGATAACAACTCATAAAAAATGAGGTTGCCAACCTGCCTGCCAATCGTGGCAACTATGGCAAAATCCTCCCAATGAGTCAATCTGTGGGAGAGGCCTATGTTCACCAGTGCTTTTTTATAGGCTGTAATGGATGAAATCAGTTCGCTTTACCATATTTGGCTGCATCATCATCAGTTGGGATAGTAGTCAAATACTGGCTTAGAATATTTGTTTTTATAGCATAGGATGACAATCGAGCACACGGTCCACCTGATGGTAAGTGGTCTATGGGTCAAGACATCTACATTTATCCTCAATAAAGAATCAAAATTCAGATGCGTCGTCACCCGTGAGGACTAAAATGGAATGCCTCTTTTCCAGTAATATGGGTCTCCGGTTCTCTACACTCACCATACGAAACACAGCAGTGTCAAGCTGACATTTTACGCTGGTATTCTGTGAGAGCGTGGTCTTTTCCTGGTCGAGGTCAACCCATTCGTGCTACAACTATACTACTAATATAGCTGCAGCATGGCTCTATCACGTATAAAATGAAAGAAAAAAATATCTCAACATCAAGTCACGTGACTAGTCGCCAATAAATTAATTTATTTGTATAGTTTTCTATTAGCGATAACAATTGTAGTTAGACAATTTGGCTAACCATGCTCTTTTGGTTTCGGCTGGGACACAATCGATAACTCTTTTTACTTGTTAGAATATCATTGCTTCTAGATATACTAAACATGTCAACGCTGGCGGCAGTCGTGGTCGTTAATTAGTGAAGCAAATAGTTTTGTGCACGAGCAATATCGATAATTCGAATTTAGATCATGAGACCTAATAATTATCTAATTTTAATTTACCTATTCAAACCATCATGCTTTATCTGTTCTGCAGTTCTCTATCCCTATCTAACTAAACAAATTGTCATCTGTTGACTAGTTTACTTTAGTATTATTAATAATTAAAAACAATATTAATACTAATTAAAAAAAATTGTGTACTTACCTTGTCCATCCAAAAATCAGTTATTTGCTTTTTCTGTCAAAAAATTCTTAGTAGCATTCCAGAGTCAGGAAGTTGGTGGTGGTGTTTCACGACCGTGCTGCAGAAAGCATGTAAAGCCGAAGGTCATGCGCCTGATCTTTCTCTTTCCGTATTGGCTTGCCATCCCATCGGACTAAGAGGTGCATACACTGTGCGCTATATTCCTGTCTTGCGCAGATGGCTAGTCTTTGTAGTCGCGCGATGACTGCCCATCCTGACCGAAATTCGGTCTCGAGGACATTACCACCAGTATTAACTTACTTTTAGAACATTAAAAAAAAAGTTGTTCTGTTTTTAAAAAAGTTTAAATCAGTTTAATCATCTCGTGGCTATTACATCAACTTATAAGGCCTGTTGCAAGCGAGAGCTCAAGATTATCGATGCCGTTTTATGTATGACCAAGACTGCCATGAGCGTTAGGTTTAGTATGGCTTAAGTTTCAAACTCCTATACTTAAAACTAGAAATATCAATATAACACATTATATTATCATGATGTAGTCATTTTTTGTTAAACAATAAGAACCGAGGAGTAATTTACTGGCAATCATCAAACATTTCACAATTTACGCACTGGCCACTTTGGTGTACATGTTCCCTTCAATAAAAAATAATATCATATTAAGCAGTCTTTCATTGTTATCATGTTTTATATTGATGCCTAGCCAGAATAAATTATTAGAGCGCGCACTAAAAAAAATGTAAACCACAAAAAATATTTTTTTACATAAATATTTTGCGCATTTCAAACGTCATCATTTTTCTTTTACAATCTATCACCGTTTCATAATGAGGTTCCCCTGACCGGAGAAGAAATGGCGAAAGAAACTGCACAGGTATACATTTTTTATTTTATGTTCCAATAATACAATAATTATGTATTTTAAAAGTCAAAGCTGTCAACGTATTAAGTTGGCTGCTCTGTATGTATATCTTGCAATACATAGATAGGTAATCATTTATTTATATCGTACAGGACATACAGAACTATTAAAAATAAATTAAAAAAAATTAAATAAATAAAACATATGTGTGTGCACTGCAATGGTACCAACAGGCCGTAGCTCAGTGTGCATATTGTCCACAAAGAAGCACAACACTGATTTTCAACTACGGTCGCATTCTTTTTTTACTTAGAATACATGGAACCTAGCAAGTTTATGTTTATTTAATGGAGTCCGTAAAAAACTGCTAAGACCAACAAGTTCATCTATGTACACAGCTTATATTTGTATTAAGTACATTTGTTGCAATTTTAGTAGAAATATGGTTAAAATTGGCTTATCTCAGTCACCGTGACTGTCGAGGGCTATTTTATTACAACTTTGATCTCGAATTGTCAAAATATACCACGATGAAATGTCTGAAACCTAAGGCGAAGACAGGTTATTGGTACAAGAAATTCCAAAGAGAAAGTGAAACTTGTTATAACTTTAACTATATTACTGTATTTTAGTAACGACGAAAGGTCAGATCGCCCAGTGATGAGGGCTAGAAAATATTGCATCACCATCATTATTTAAATATCTCTTGTCAAAGAATTGTACATAATTATTTTAAGGTCAGGGGACAGGGCACTACCATCCTAAGCAAAAGGTGGCCTGGGAGTCATTACGTTTTTACCCTTTTTTAACTTTTCATTCTTACTTGTTAATTATTAGGCCCACCGAGTCCGCGCCCCGTTGCAGTTGTACCAACAGTTAGTATTGGAGCCCTACCTAGCCGCGGCAGCCACACACCACGCCCGACGTGCGGCAGATTTGTTGCAAGATGGTGACGTCTCGCATTATATGAAGCATATACTGGAAGGTAGCCTTTTATTGAAATACATACTAATAGTCCTTTCTATATTAATAATTTTAAGCACGTTTTCATATAATAAGGCTTATAATAAGTCACTCTTAGATTTTGCAATTTGGTTATAACCGTAAGTAATCATACGTATTGTAATTCAATACGTATGATTATATATACGGTTACGGAACGTAGGTATGTGGATGTGGAGGAGGCGAGAGAGATGTATCAGGATCGTGCCAAATGGAAGTCCATAGTCTCTGCCTACCCCTCTGGGTGACAGGCGTGAATTGAGCATATTTACGAAGTGTTGAAGGAGAACATTGAATTAATTAACGATAAGATTCTGAAACCTTAGTTTTCATAGTGAAGTAGATAGTATTTTTGAAACATGGAGAAGTTTGATATAAAGACTGCAACATCTTTAATTCCTGTAATGGACGGTACTGAACCACGACAAAACGACAGAAAAAATTATAGTCTGTAGATTTATACCACAATTTTCTCAAGAATTGTGATCAGAAAAAAAATGTAAATTTATTTGTTTTGACAACACGGCTTACTAAAATCGCTAACTTAAAGTTAAAATGCGTATGATTAAGTATAAAATTATATCATACGTATTGTAATTCAATCTTTCAGAAAGAATGGGTCAATGTGGGAAAGAGTATGAATGTGTGAATGTGAAAATGCAAAATTCCGCTCAACACAATAACTGCTCGGGGCAAACTGAGCAACAAGACCAAGGCGACCCCTGCCACGCTATCCGTGAATTTCTGCAACATCAGGGGACTTCACTCGAACCTAAACGCCGTCCACTACCATCTTGAGACGGCGAAGCCGGCCTTGCTCTTTCTAACCGAGACGCAGGTGTCCTCTCCGGCTGATACTTCGTATCTCTCCTACCCGGGGTACAAATTGGAGCACTCCTTTGTGCCTCGGGCTGGAGTTTGCGTGTATGTCAGAGAGGACATCTGTTCTCGACGCCTCGGCAGTCTTGAAGGTTCGGACCTGTCCATCCTTTGGCTACGCGTAGACAGCGACGACCATCCGCGCGTCTACGTGTGCTTCTATAGGTCCCATAGCGGTAATGCCGAAACAGACCGACTCATCGACCACGTCCAAATGGCTACAGATTCCTTGCTACAACAGGTCCCATCCGCAGAGATCGTGATCCTTGGCGATTTTAACGCCCACCACGCCAAATGGCTCGGTTCACGTTTAACCGATCATGCGGGAAGATCTGTTTATGACTTTGCCTTGGCATATGGTCTGACACAACTGGTTACATCGCCTACGCGGATTCCAGATGTTGAGGATCATACACCTTCCCTGTTGGACCTTCTGCTGACCTCTCATCCGGACGGATATCAGGTTTCCGTCGATGCCCCTCTTGGCTCTTCGGACCATTGTCTGATCCGGAGTGTGGTGTCACTCACGATTGCGTTCCCCTCGCGGTTGCGTTCTGCAGGTTGCCGCCGTGTTTGGCATTACAGGTCGGCGGATTGGGACGGAATGCGGTCTTTCTTTGCTTCCTACCCATGGGGGCGGGTTTGCTTCTCGCCGGATGATCCCAGCGCTGTTGCCGACTCTGTCACTGATGTAGTGCTACAGGGAATGGAACTATTTATTCCATCATCTGTGGTACCCATCGGAGGCAGATCTCAGCCTTGGTTTGGTCGCTCCTGTAAGACTGCATTACGCAGTAAGCAGGAGTGTTATCAAGCCTGGGCTGCGGCTTCGGTGACTCGGGATGTAAACACCAGCACACTCAAAAAGAAGTATAACTTCGCCTCCAGGTCCTTCAAAAGAGTTATTGCCAAGGCAAAGTCAGAGCACATAGGCAGAATTGGCGAGAAACTAGTTCGCCTTCCTTCGGGAACCCGTGCATTCTGGTCTCTCGCCAAGGCTGTCCAAGGGAATTTCTGTAAGCCATCACTACCATCTCTGCACAGGGAGGACGACTCACTGGCCCACGACGCAAAAGAGAAGGCCGACCTTTTAGGCTCCCTTTTTGCGTCCAACTCGACTGTTGATGACGGGGGGAACACACCGCCGACCATCCCGCGGTGTGAGTGCTCCATGCCGGATGTGCGATTCTCACAGCGCTCGGTTCGCAGAGCACTCCTCTCCCTTGACATCCACAAGTCGAGTGGGCCTGACGGAATCCCCCCAATTGTGCTGAGGACGTGTGCTCCGGAGTTGGCACCGGTTCTAACGCGTCTTTTCCGGTACTCCTACTCCCTAGGCGTAGTCCCGAAATCATGGAAGACAGCTTTTGTCCACCCGATCCCTAAAAAAGGCGACCGCACAGATCCGTCCAACTACAGGCCTATCGTCATCACCCCCTTGTTCTCCAAAATAATGGAATCCGTTGTAAACTGCCACCTCATGCGGTACCTTGAGGATCACCAGCTGATTAGTGACCGCCAGTACGGTTTTCGTCGGGGTCGATCAGCTGGTGATCTTCTGGTCTACTTAACTCATAGATGGGCGTTGGCAGTAGAGTCCAAGGGGGAGGCATTGGCCGTTAGTTTGGACATTGCGAAGGCCTTCGATCGGGTTTGGCACAAAGCGCTTCTTTCGAAGCTCCCTTCCTATGGGCTTCCCGAGAAATTATGCAATTGGATCACCAGCTTTCTTGCAGATCGGAGCATCAAGGTCGTTGTAGACGGTGCATGCTCCGACTACAAGCCTATTAACGCTGGTGTTCCACAAGGCTGCGTGCTATCACCAACGCTGTTTCTTCTGCATATCAATGATATGTTGCAAGCTGGTAGCATTCATTGCTATGCAGATGACAGCACTGGTGATGCTCTATACACCGGCCGTGCCAATATTTCTCGGGAAAACGTCACCGAGTACCGGAACAAACTTGTGTCTGAAGTCGAGTCTTTGCTGGACAAAGTCTCGGATTGGGGGCGACTAAATCTAGTCCAGTTTAATCCTCAGAAGACACAAGTTTGCGCGTTTACCGCTAAAAAGAACCCCTTTGTCGTATCTCCTCAGTTTCAAGGTACTCCCCTTGTTGCCTCAGCCAGTATCGGAATCCTCGGCGTCGACATATCGAGTAGCGTGCAGTTTCGTGGTCACTTGGAAGCGAAGGCCAAATTGGCCTCTAAAAAGCTTGGCGTGCTCAGCAGAGCGGGACAGTATTTCATGCCGGCTCAACGCCTGCAACTTTACAAGGCGCAGGTTCGGCCTCACATGGAATACTGTTCCCATCTCTGGGCTGGGGCTCCCCAGTGCCAGCTTCTTCCACTTGACCGCATCCAGCGCAGAGCGGCTCGAATCGTCAACGACCAAGTCCTTTCCGATCGGCTCGACTCATTGGCACTGCGAAGAGATGTTGCATCTCTTAGCATTTTCTTTCGCATTTACCATGGGGAGTGCTCTGAGGAATTGTTCGGATTAATCCCAGCCGCCAAATTTCACGAACGCACATCGCGGCAGAACTCCCGATACCATCCACACCATCTGGATGATTGGCGGTCCACCACTGTGCGATTTAGAAGATGTTTTCTTCCTCGCACAACTTCCTTGTGGAATAGTTTACCACCAGCGATTTTTCCGGACCGATACGACTTAGGGACCTTCAAGAAAAGAGCCTACTCCTTTTTAAAAGGCCGGCAACGCATCTGCAATTCCCCTGGTGTTGCGGTTGTTCATGGGCGGCGGTAGTCACTTACCATCAGGTGAGCCGCATGCTCGTTTGCCCCCTCTCCTATAAAAAAAAAATGAAAGAATAAATGAGAATGGTGAAGACCTCCTCACCGTATGTGTGGAAAATAATCTTTTTGTGGCGAACACTTTCTTTCGCCATAAGAGGATTCACATGTATACATGGGAAAGATAGAAGCATGATAGATTTTATAATTGTGGATGAAAGAATGAGGAGCGCAGTGGTAGATACAAGGATTTACCGGGGGTCCAACGTAGGGACGGATCATTACTTGGTCTTATGCCGAATTAATGGTCTATTCAGACGTTGGCGGCATCGGACATCGGTGTCTACCACTGCGTTACAGCGTATAAGAATAGAGAGGTTACAAGATGAAGGTGTGAAAGAGAAGTATAAATGCAGATTGATGAAAAATATAAGTGGGTTGAATGAATTATGTATGAATGATTTAGAATTGAAGAATGTATGGAATAATATTAAGAAAGTTTTGGTGGATGCAGCCACCGAAGTATGCGGTGTAAGTAAGAGAACGAATGAAAGGAAAAGTAATACGTTGTGGTGGGATGATGAGGTACGGATGGAAGTTGAAGCAAAGAAGAGAGCATGGCTAGATTTACTAGCAACTAAAGCTGGTAATTCTGGCGGTATGAATGATGAGATTGAAAGAAAAAAGGCAGACTTTAGACGTATAAATAAGAGAGTAAAAGAAGTTGTTGAAAGGAAAAAGCAAGAAAGGATAGATAAAAATGATAGAAGGATATCTGATAACTTCCAGGAAAATATTAAAATGTTCTGGAAGCTCGTAAGAACTGCCAGAGGAAATTCAAAACAGCCTAGAATGAATGCTATACGAGACGAGAATGGCTGCATGCTGAATGATGAAGTTTCGAATTTAAAGAGATGGGAGGAATACTTTGAAAGCGTGTTTAAGAGTGAAGAGTCGTCTGAAATAAGTGAAATAGAAATTCCGGGAGAAGTGGAGAGAGGTAGGGAGATAAGTGTAGATGAAATAATGAAAGCAATGAAAAGCATGAAAGCAGGTAAGGCAGCCGGATATGATAGAGTATCACTCGAAATGCTAAGGGCTGGTGAGGGTGTGGTTGCAGGCCTGTTGCACACCTTGTTTAATTTATGTTGGGAACTGAAACGGGTACCGGAAGACTGGTGCAAAGTAGTCTCAACATATAAGGGAAAGGGGTCGCAGCAGGACTGTAAAAACTACCGTGGTATCAGCTTGCTTAGCATTGTGGGTAAACTGTATGCTAAGGTGTTAATTGAAAGAGTTATGGAAGAAACTGATGGAAAAATTTGGGATGTGCAAGCTGGATTTAGAAAGGGGATGGGGTGTACGGATCAAGTCTTTTCCATGCGCATGATAGCGGAGAATTTTTTGGCTAAAATCCAGAAAGTTTTTTGTGCGTTCATGGACTTTGAAAAGGCTTATGACAGAGTGAACAGGAATGTGTTATGGCAAACACTGAACTCATTTGGGTTGAGCGCTGGCTTGATACAGGCATTAAGGTATCTTTATAGGGACTCTAGTGCTTGTGTCAGGATCAACGGGGTCTACTCGGACTGGTTTGGCATTCATAAAGATTTCAGACAGGGATGTGTAGCTTCCCCGTGGCTGTTTAACCTATTTATGGACAGTTGTTTGCAAACTTTGAAAGTTGAAGAATGTGGTTGAAAATGGGTGAGTCAACCGTCAAATGCCTTTTGTACGCCGATGATCAAGTAATATTTGCATCGTCGGCGGCCGAGTTGCAAATGATGGTTACTTTAAGGAATTGGTCATTGAAAAAAAGTGGTATGAAAGTGAACGCAAGTAAGACGAAAGTGATGGTTTTTGAAAGAGAAGAAAATAAAACTTTATGTGAAATAAGAATAGAAGGGGAGTTGATTGAGCAAGTGGATGAGTTTGTATATTTGGGATGTTTATTTAGCAGGGATGGTAGATATGATAAGGATATAGAACGACGAGTGAACGCAGGAAATAGAGTGAATGGGAACTAAGGCACTTTTGGCAATTCATAATGCTGTGTTAGTCCCTACTTTAATGTATGGTAGTGAAAGTTGGGTGTGGCAGAAGAAGCATGAGAGTAGAATAAATGCTGTAGAAATGCGTTCCTTAAGGAGTATGCTAGGGCTGAATCTGAATGACAGGGTGAGAAATAGTGTGATAAGAGAAAAGTGTGGTTTGCAAGACGACGTTGTGACAAGGATTAAGAAAGGAATGCTTCGGTGGTTTGGTCATGTAGAAAGAATGAACGAGGAAAGAGTGACAAAGCAAATTTATGTTGCAAAAGTGAACGGCAGGGTTGGGAAGGGACGCCCTAGACGAAGGTTTATCGACCAAATCGGCGATACATTAAAAATGGGCCAGATTAGGAGTACCCTTAACCGACGAGCGTGTATGCGTAGATATATGGATGTAAAAGAGGCGAGAGAGGTGTGTCAGGATCGCGCCATTGGAAGTCCGTAGTCTCTGCCTACCCCTCTGGGTGACAGGCGTGAGTGTTTATGTATGTATGTAATCGCCTTGTGGTCGAAATTCGATAGTAATTCATTAATTTTTAAGTTCGTATATAAAGCAAGTTGTATTTCACTTTGGCCGCATCGACCGTCATTATTATATAGAACACAGATATCTAATAAACAAAATATAAAATAAACGCTTTTTTCCTTTGACTCTACACACTATTGAAAAAGGAACATTTTTTTTTAAATCATACAAATTTTACTGCATATTCATCCAATCTGTCAGTAATTCTTTGTTTACAATATTTTAAAATTCTTTGTCGATCGTGTTTTACATTCGCCAGAGTAATAACATACATACATAATATGCATTTAATTTGTAACACATATACATATTAGGTATATAATCTATATACCTATAAATTTTAGCTTTCTGCACTCCTTCAAAATGTAAACTTTAACTGTGCCAAATCTCAAAATCCTCTGTGGGTGCAATATGTTTAAAAAGGGATACAAAGTTTTCTCACCACTTTTAATATATAGATGATGATGATGATGAAGATTCAAATGTGATGTGTCCGCACTAGGTCTAGAGCGCGAAACAGCGCTTGGGGCACGATACCTCCACTCGTCATCATCGGAAGCTGTGCGTGGCTGCTACGAAAGAGCAGCGGTGGCAGCTCACCTGCCAGCGCTTCACGCTCACACCGAGCGGCTTCTACGCGAGGCCTGCATGGACGCACCCGAGGCTGCACAGGTACTATGCCACACTTTAACAATCGAAGGGAGGATTTTGGCGGGTCTTGAATTGCTGTGCTGTGTGCGCATGTGGAATATGGGAATGCTAAAACAAGTTAACGATGGTGATATAATCCTCAAGTTATTTCGTTCGTTTAGACGCCTTAAGATACTGTCGTCATCGATTGTCTGCTGGCATTAACTATCATAGAAATTTCCCCAAAAATTTGCAAAATCTATATATTGGATAATGTATAACAGCGTTTTATATATTAGCCAATGCTACAATAAATGATATAATAATAATAGAGTAAAATTTCTTATAAAAATCAAGATGACGAACAGGTCCACATACCTTTTACATTATTTTATGCGGTAGAGCCATTATCATAATCATTACAGCCCTTCACAAGTCCACTGCTGAACATAGGCCTCCCCCAAGGAATGCCACAAACATGTTCCCAAGCCACCTGCATACATTAACTTGCAGCATGTCTTACCAGGTCGTCACTCCATCTAGTGGGAGGGATGGGGTAGAACCATGCTCCAGCTATATTAGTCGTATAGTTGTAGCATGAATGGGTCGGCTCGACCGGGGAAGGACCACGCTCTCACAGAATACCAGCGTAAAATACCAGCTTAACGCTGCTGTGTTTCGTATGGTGAGTGTAGAGAACCGGAGACCCTTTTTACTGGCAAAGAGGCATTCCGTCTTAGTCCTCACGGGTGACAACGCATCTGCATCTTGAGTCTTTATTGAGGATAGATGTAGATGTCTATGGGTCGCAGTGGCCACTTACCATCAGGTGGACAGTATGCTTGTTTGTCACCCTTATCCCATAAGAGAAATATCACCAGATAGTAAGTGGATGCTTTGACCCACGGAAACCTTCATTTATCCTCGAAAGAATCAAAATGCAGATGCATTATTCTTCCTAAAGATAGAATCGTTACCAAACAAAACACAGCAGCATTACTACTATATCACGCTGGTATTCTATGCAATCGGGGCGTCTATTGCCAACATTTCTCCGAAAAGAAAGAATTTGAAAACGCCAATCGGATTTGATTTCATTCATTAATATTAATAGTATATTTTTACCGCCAGCGCCGTGAAGACTTGAAGCGAATGTACACGCTACTGAAGCCTCTGAGCGGACAGGGAGCCCTTCGGCCATTGGTGGACGCTGCTCACGCTCAAGCCGCAAGGGAGGGACTCGATCTCTTGGCAGCCGAACACAGCAAAGATGAGGTAAAATATTTTTATACAAACCCATAACGTTCATATGAGTATAATAGGATGTATGAATAATTTATAGTAATGTATTGCTATAGTGACAGCATAAGAGATTCCACTATTCCATAGTATTATCCTGTGGGTGTCCTTGGAGCTGGAATAGGGAAACTGGAACAGGAGATGGGCCGCAGCATCTTTCTGACAACAACTAACAATAATAATAACTTAAATTAAAAAAAAACATTAAAACTCCCGAAACAAAAAGCGCTGGCGGTTTCAAATGGCTGAACAGAATTTCTTCAAATATAGCTAGAAATACTCTCAATTAAGACATCTTTTAAACGAAAAAAACTTAATCAAAATCGGTTCATCCGTTCAGGAGCTATGATGCCATAGACACACAGATATACAAATACACAGACACACAGATACACAATACAAACATATAACAACCCTCTGTTTTCGACGGGGCTTAAAAACTAGAGATGAAACGGATAGCTGTTTGGCCGGATACCGGATACCGGATATTAGACCAGTCCTATCATTGGATAGAAGTAAATCTGGCCGCCGGATATTCTGCCGAACATTGCCGTTTGGTGCATCGCAAGAAGTGACTTGCGTAGGTGGCGCTAGTGGTAGCCATGTGTGCAAGCAGGACTCAGGCGACTTCAGGTCTTTCCGTTCATGAGCGAAGTTAGCAACTGTTTAATTGACTTCTTGCATTGATTGCAAACACGTTTGAGGTTAGGTTAGAAAATCGTTTCGATTCCTTAAGTCAAGACTTTTTTATTGCTACTTACCTAGACCCGAGATTCAAAATAAATTACTTAGGAGTGGTTGAAGCTGAAAGAGCTCGCCTGGAAATTCTATTGGAATACTTAAAAATGTCTTGTGAAGAGTCCTCCAGTAGTAGTTGATCTTCAACACTGGCTAAAAAAAGTAGAGGAGAGGATACAGAGTCAGCTTTATCTCGCGAAGCTCATTACACGTTCTGGGATTGCTTTAGTGAAGTTGTACTAACCAGTCTCACCATGAAGAAAGAAACGCGATTGCATGTGAGATTGATTTTTATCTAAAGTCGGTGCGAATTGCTCGCGATCGTGATCCTTGTATTTGGTGGGCAGTTAATGTTACACAATACCCTAATTCATCAGTTTACCAAAATCTATCTTTAAGCATCTTGCAGCAGTGTATACCGCGAAAGACTTTTTTCTCAAGCTGGGCCTTGTTTATGAAGACAGGTGAAACCGCTTGTTATCTTTCACTTCAGAGAAATTATAAATTAGTATTTATTCACCATAGTTTGCCCGTAGGACAGTACTAGTACCAATTTTCTAAGTTTTAAAATTAAAATTTTGTGATATCTGATTATATTTGTTAAGTGACATAAATAAAGTAGTTAACTAAATTTGATATGTTGTATTTTTTTAAATCCGATATCAGGCCATATAGCAGTTTGTTATCCGCTATCCGGCCTGATAGTAAATTAGACGGGATAGGCCGAATACCGGATAGTTACCGGATATCCGTTTCATATCTATTAAAAACTACGGTTACGACAAATGATTGCCAATGAGGCGATTTATAGGGAAGGCCTATGTTTAATAGTGAATGAATGAAAAGTTACTATTTAAAATTAAAGTACAAGTACAAGAAAAAAAAGTGTCTACCAAAAAACCAGTGATTTTGGCAATTGTTAATTATACCTGAATTGCCAAATTTGTTGGAGTTGCGTTACCGTTACCGCCTGTTAAAAGTCCACTACTGAACATAGGCCTTCCCTATAGGTTGCCTCATAGGGGGGATATTTGCCAAAGTTGCCGCGCTTGGCTGGTGGGTTGGCAACCGCAGTTTTTTAATTTTAGATATTATTAGGAAGACGCTGCCACCCATCTCCTGGCTTAATTTCTTCTGTCGTTTCTTACGACACGCACGGAATGATATTGGTTAGTGGACATTCTGACACCGTCACTAATACGGTCAATTAAGATAGAAGTGATTAAAAAAGCATTTGAAGCATATATTGAAGTATTGAACTCATTTGTGCAATGATAACATATGTACACATTACAGGCACACACGCACTTCGTGAACGCAATGTTGTCCCTCCATGGAAAGTATAGCAAACTGTTTGCGGAGGTGTTTGGTGGAGCACAAGCTTTCGTTGGGGCACTTGACAAAGTAAGTAATACTTCGTAATTTTTCTCTTGAATTGTTAAGATTCTTCCTATAAAAACAGCTTATTATCTACCTGTGACACGTATCAGCTAATTTGAAGTGAAATTTATAATCACATAAATGACAGATATTTTGTATAAGATTTGACATTTATTTATTTATTTTATTAGGCTCTCACAACAACGAGTACACTGTTACATACATATGGAATGACATCACAATTATTAAAACTAAATGTCCCATTACTTATAGGAGGGCACCACATGCATATAAAAAGAGACTTTACGTTGATTTTACAACGGTACATAGGTACAATTTAACTCCAATAAAATTTTAATTTAAATTAATAATGAAGAAACTTCCCTTAGAACTTAGCCTTAATCGCCGATAACTACTTTTTTGATGCCATAATATATGTAAGCTTTTGTGGATTAATACTTTAGCTATCCCGTGTACTACATAAAGTACATTGCTATTGTCTTACGTTTGTGTCTGAAAACCGGACAGTAATCGCTCACAAACATGACTTTCAATCTTCTCTCCGTTGTGTAGTGGCGTTGTAAGAAAAGCCACTACCCCATATTATCCTGTGGGTGTCGTTAGAGACGACAAAGGGATATGAAATAGGAGATGGGCATCGACATCTCCATGATAACTACTTAAAATAATTTAAAAAAATATTTAATATTTAAGTATTTGCACGATGAGGCAGTTTATAGGGCAGGTCTATGTTCAGCACTGAACTTTTTATAGGCTGAAATGATGTCTGGCCCTCTCCTTCAAGATAGTTTAATTTTACCTTCTGTCCGTGTTTTGTCTACATATATACGTTTCTCTTTCTGTTATGCGAGTGTATATTTAGCTCTCACCACACTACCAAAGGTTAGCTGGCAGAGAAAGCCTTTTTGGCATTAAGTTCGCCTTTGTACCAAATGTTTGTTTGTTTGAGTGCATTAAAAAAATTTCTATCTATCTATATTTATAAATAATATTATCAAATGTTGACAAGCTTAGAAGTTCCAATCAAATGTGTGCCTATGTAACACTGCTAAGACAAATGAGAACACAGATACCTTCTTAACCAACGATGGAATCAAAAAGAAACAAAATGTAGGTGCGTTGTCACCACTGCGGTCTTAGGTAGTTGTTACTTGTGAAAAGGGTCTTTAGTTCTCTACACTCATGAAACAAAATCCATCCGTCCATCCATTACAGCCTATAAAAGTCCACTGCTGAACAAAGGCCTCCCTCCTAGATTGCCTCGTGGCTGGATTTTGCCATAGTTGCCACGCTTGGAAAGCAGGTAAAAATAATAAAAAACTGCGGTTGAAACTGTTTTAACTTTATTTTTAGTTGTTATTAGAATGATAACTGCTGCTACCCATCTCCACATCTCATGCGAAACACAGCACTATTAAATTACTATTTCATCCTGGTGTTCTATGAGAGTGTGGTCCTTCCCCGGTTGAGCCTACCCATTCGAGCTGCAACCGTAATGTTAAAAGACATCCAGCGAACATGGAAAGCAAACCCATTGTTGATATCAACAAAAATATGTAGTGAAACAAATCAAACGATGTTTTTTTTGTAAAGTCCGGTCGCCCAACACGAAAAATTTCGTTCTATGACCCGTCATTACTTGTCTTACTCACTCGATGTCTTAGTGATCGCGAGGGTGAAAGCCGGCAGCGATCACCGAATGGTGAATGACAAGCTCGTGGAAACTGTTCATGCGGTCGGAGCTAAGTTTTGCAAGACCCGCTGCAGAAGAACACAAAAACTCTCCGATCACACTGTTAATCTCAAGGCTGTTAGACGGGAAATAAATCTGCAGTCTTCAGTAGAATTAACAGCATACAGGCAACTGAATAGACAGATCTCCAAATGCATGCAGTGGGACTTACTTTAATACTGCTCGTATTGAAGAAGGGATCGAGCAGAACCAGTGCTCCAAAGTCATTGCTAGAGATCTGTCTGCCAGAAAGAGCCAACTGTCGAAGCTGAAGACCGAGTGGTAGCGTCGTTTCAGGGACACCTGAGATTGTGAGTGAAATTGAGAGGTTTTATGGGCAGCTGTATACATCGTCGTTGAAGCCACACGCAAGTGTGAGTAACGATCCAAGAGCAAGTCTTATCTGACACTATTCCGATGATATTCTGGATGTCAGTCGTCGGAGCGAGATTAGAATGGCTTTGCAGCACCTTAAAAACGGCAAGGCCGCAGGCGAGGATAAAATTACAGCGGAACTTCTGAAAGTGGGTGGCAAACTGGTACTTGAAGTCCTTTCGGAGCTCTTTAATTCCGTCCTCCATGGTGGCATTACACCGGAGGCGTGGAGCAGAAGTGCGGTGGTCTTGTTCTTCAAGAAAGGTGACAACGCTCTCTTGAAGAACTACAGACCGATTTCCCTTTTGAGCCGCGTCTACGTGCTGTTTTCGAGAGTCATTACGAATTGTCTCGCATTCAGACTCGACTTCTTCCAGCCTCCCAAACAAGCCATACACCACAGACCACATACATACTCTTCGGCAAATTGTACAGAAGTTCGAGGAGTACAATTTGCCACTATGTCTGGCGTATGTGGACTATGAGAAAGCCTTTGATTCTGTCGAAATTTGGGCGATGCTTCAGTCCATCCAGCGGTGCCAAGTTGACTGTCGGTATATCGAAGTGCTGAAGTGTTTGTACAAGTATAACTACGATGACTATCCGAGTACAGAATCAGAATACGAAACCTATCCAACTACAGAGAGGTTTAAGACAGAGTGACGTTATATCCCCGAAATTGTTCACCGCTGCGTTGGAAGACGTTTTCAAGATTCTGGACTGGAAAAGATACGGTAATTACATAAACGGCGAGTACATCATTCACCTTTGATTTGCCGACGATATAGTCCTTATGGCAGAATCGCTGGAGGACCTAAGGAATATGTTCAATGACCTCACATGGATAAAACAAAGATCATGTATAACATCGATGTCACACCTATGCCGGTAATTGTTGGGAGCACTAAGCTCCAAATTGTTGACGAGTATGTTTATCTGGGACAAATAGTCCGACTAAGTAAGTCCAACTTCGACCGAGAGGTCAATCGACGGATTCAACTCGGCTGGACAGCGTTTGGGAAATTACGCCACATCTTCTTGTCAGGTATACCTCAAAACTTGAAAACGAGACTGTACAACCAGTGCGTGTTGCCAGTGATGACCTGTGGAACTGAGACGTGGTCCTTCACTGCTGGCCGGAGGAAGAAGCTCAAGGTCGTTCAGCGAGCTATGGAGAAGGCTATGCTGGAAGTTTCTCTGCGTGATAAACTTAGAAATGAGGATGTTCGCAGTATAAACAGAGTGACCGACATAGCCCAGCGGATTAGTAAGCTGAAGTGGTTCGAAGAACCGACAACCGATGGGAAAAAAGGTTCTCGAGTGGCGGCCTCGTACCAGCGGACGAATTGTAGGGTGTACCCCCACTAGATAGAGTGACGACCTGGTAAGACATGTCGATGAATGCAGGTGGCTCACAACCGTGCTTGGTGACATTCCTTGGGGGAGGTCTATGTTGAGCAGTGGACTTGTGAAGGGCTGTAGTGATGGTGAACTTATGTGGACTTTTGATAGTCTGTAAAGAATGAATGAAAAGTCTACTACTAGATAGAGACTCCTGTTTTAGAAAGGATTTGTCTTAAGCGTGACTCTTAGCAGTTGGGTTGTCTCTCACATTACCAGACGTTACGCACCTTTAATGTTGTTCACCGTCGGCGGTCTGTTTATTGCCTCCCTCCTTAAATAAACGTAACAAAACATCCATCCATCGACTTCCTGTATCTCTTATCAACGGGGTTAGCCTACTTGACTCTACTGTTGTTAACAATAATAGAAAACTATAAAAATGAATGGCAATGACATATATCTCAACGTTAAGTCACGTGACAAACATCGACTACCAGTAATGATTTTTCCGTACCGATCGACTTAGGGACCTCATTTTTTTCATAGAATAAGATAGACAAATGTGCACACAGTTCACCTGATGGTAAGTGGATGCTGTGGCCCATAGACATCTAGATTTATCCTCCATTAAGAATCAAAATTCAATGCGTTGTCACCGTAGAAGACTATGATAAATGCCTCGTTTCCAGTAAAAAAGGGTCTCCGGTTTTCTACACTCACCAAAAAGAAAAGAGTTTACTCTTTTGTAAAAGACCAGCAACGCATTTGCACTTCCTCTGGTGTTGCAGTTGTTCATGTGCAACGGTAGTCACTTATCATCATATAAAAAAATGTGACTTCTCGTTGGTTTCATTAATTCTTAGTACATTTTTAGCGTTAATGATTGTAGAATGTGAACTAGCGCCGCAGGTTTTGACTCGATGTAGTGTGGGCCGACCGACACTATGAAATCCCATGAATGAACAAAGTGTTGAATGTGCAGGCGTGCAGCGCGGTGGTGAACGCGCGGCAGGCGGGCGAGAGCGCGGCGCGCGCGCCGGAGCTGCTGGCGCGCTACTGCGACGCGCTGCTGCGCCGCCGCGGCGCCGACGCCGACGCGGACGACAAGCTTGCCGCCGCCATCGTTGTCTTCAAATACGTCGACGACAAGGACGTCTTCCAGAAGCATTACGCTCGAGCCCTCGCCAGGCGCCTCATCCACCAGCTCTCCGCCTCCATGGAACAGGAGGAGGCCATGATCAACCGGCTGAAAGCGGCCTGCGGCTACGAGTTCACGAACAAACTGCACCGGATGTTCACCGATGTCGCCGTTTCCGCCGATCTCAACGCAAAGTTCCAGCAGCATCTTAGGGATAATAATTTGTCTACGAACACCGGATTTTTTATACAGGTAGCAGATTGCATTTTCTACCGACATCAAAGTTTTTTTTACCTCATAACTTTTTTCTGGGTTAACCGATTTCGATGATTCTTTTTTTATTTGAAAGCTGGCACATCTCATATGGTCACACATTAATTTAATCAAGGTCTGACCAATAGTTTTTGAGTTATTCTTAATATAATTTATATTGAAATCGGTAGTACAAAATTTTTAATTTTTAATTATTATCTACTTCGCTTAATCCATTGCTGGATATAACAACTATTTCAAGAATATATTCTTAATATATTTAAGAATATATATTCTTAATATATATTCTTAAAATATTTTGCCAGATATTTAGTAATTCTGGTGTTTGTAACCCTTTAATTTTCAATGTGATTAGTAAACAAAGTATTATAATATATTACTAAGACGTTCGCGTGCAGCAACGTCATATACCGACAGACCGAGCTCTACAATATGACACTACGGCGGTCCCGTCATTACCAAAATTGCTTTAAAAGTTGCTATGGTTATTGCCGTGCATAATGTACGAGACCGCCGAGTAGTACAGAATTTGTGTCATTCCGAGTAGCTCAGCTAAAGTCAGACTATCAAACAACTACTAAAATAATTTTTCAAAATTCACACAAACACAAGCGTAACATAATATAAAATTGGCAGTACGTCATATCCCGTTGCAATTGTATGAACACCTGCGGGGTGAGCGGTTCAGTGGCACGACCATTTTTCAATCCCAAATTCATGAAGATGACAAGGAGGAAGAATCACAACAACAACTAAAAGAAACTGTTCCAACTTTGAAAATATCTTTAACCAGGCCTGTCTCACTTCGCGCTTTAGGCATGACAATATACCTACGCTTCGCGGCCCCCTACATGGGTCTAATTCTCACGCGACGTAAAGTGCATTTTGATTTTATACGCGCGCCGCATTAATTTTTTTCGGATACCTAGACATGCATGTATGAAGAAGATAATGAATCTGAAAGAAGCAAAAGAGGTATGTAAGGATCGTGACACTTGGCGATCTGTTCTCTCTGGCTACCCCGTCAGGGATTGTGCGTGAAGATAACGATTTAATCGGTAGACTAATTTAACGAAGGTCGTATCCGAGGCGTGCAAAGTATTATGAACATTAGCGATGTTGTAACTATAGTTCGGCCGTTCAGAGAATGCGTTCCTGACACGTCGCGATTGAACTGACGACGTAACTTTGTAATGGCGTTGCAGTTACGATAAAAATATTTTTGCTGGTTGTTTACCGTTTTAACAATTGATGAGTATTAAAACAACATTATTATATCAATAATTAATGAATGTTATAATTTTGTGCCAAACTGAGTGTCAAATAACTTGGTAAACAATATTTTTCTAAATCTATACTGCGCTATTACAAGGTTATGTCAGCGCTTTATATTTGTAGTGCTGTGCTAACAATAACAGGCAATAACAGTATCGTAATCTGTTCTTATACAGTTATACTTTATAAAATAATACGTTTTGTTTTTCTTTTTAAGAATTTGAATATAATGGACTATAAGATAACTTTTATTAAATATAAAAATTAAACTACGACCAAACCGAACGCGCGAAAGAAAGTAGCATTTTTATATTTAGGTTGAAAATGGTAACCCCAAATGGCGTTATGGGCCGCCATTTTGTGACGCTAAAACAGTCGTCTGTTGTCGTTTCGTGCGCATAGGCCACGTTCTTCTAGTGTTTTCGATCTGTTTTTATTTGATTACCCGGCTTTCGTTTAATGGACTGTTTCTTCTTTTCCAAATGACATCGGCGCTAAATCGGATTTCGATTGTGTTTTGTATTGCGTTCTTTTTACTTTTGGTGCATAATAATGCCTAAACGTGGATAAACATTGAAAAGTGGAGCTCGTGAGTTAATCATCAAGCTGCAAGATTACTTTGAGCGGGAGCGGCAAAATGGCGGACCCCTGTTACCTGTCGAACTAGTACAAGAACGCGTCTCTCAGGCACTTGGAGTTAGCAAACGAACGATAACAAATATTAATAAAGAAAAGTTCGGCTCTACTGGCACGGAAGATAATATTTTACGTACTCCGAAGAAGAAACGTAGGACTAAACCCGTGACAGATATTGACACCTTTGACGCCGATGCAATCAGAAATCATATATATGGTTACTATTCCAGAAATGAATATCTCAACAGGAAGAAGCTTTTGGCATCGTTAAGAGAAGCTGGACTGTTTAGCGGGGGTAAAACTGATTTAACCAAAATCTTAAAAGATATTGGTTTTTCGTATAAAAAAACAGACAAAAGAAAAATTTTATTAGAACGATACGACATAATTTTAAAACGGATAAGTTTTTTGAGAGAAGCAAAAAATATTGATAACTGGGATAATGTCGTGTTCATTGACGAGACATGGCTAAACGCCAATCACACGGTTTCCCGTTCTTGGACGGATGATACACAAGCGTCGACGTCGAAAGTACCAATGGGTAAGGGGCCCGTCTGATAATATGCCACGCAGGTTCTGCAAAATACGGCTTTGTGGAGAACGCGTTACTGGCATTTCAATCAAAAACCACAAATGACTACCACGAGGAAATGAATGCCACTACATTTAAAGAGTGGTTCCAGAACGTGCTTTTGCCCAGCCTACCAGAGCCTTCTGTAATATTCATGGATAATGCCTCCTATCACTCGATTCAAATACAGAAACCACCTACCCAAGCTAATAAAAAAGAAGAAATGGTGGCTTGGTTACAAGCAAAAGGCATTGACGCAAATATGCAGATGCTAAAACCAGAGCTAATTAAATTAGTTAAAGAAAATAAAGCGGCAAATGTGCGATACGAAATCGATGAACTGGCTCTGGAGTACGGTCATCGCGTTCTAAGAATTCCACCGTATCATTGCCAATATAACGCGATTGAGCTAATCTGTTACGCCACCCGCCACAATACTTCCCCGCCATTCAGCACGAAAAAGATGATGACCCTATTGAAAGAAGCCTGCGGGGAAGTCACAAGAGATGACTGGACAAAGGTTGTTGAGAAGACTAAAAACCTGATTGTGGAACATTTTGACCGAGATATCAGGATTGATACTGTTATTGATAATAATATAATTATACATGTAGGCGAAGATGATGATGAAGACACCACCTCCTCAAGCGAATCGGAGTCTGATTAATATTCTGTACGCACATTCAATTCAATGTACTTTATTGCATAGAAATACAGATTGTAACTTTATTTAAAGAATAAATAAAACAATTTTATTATATTAATATTACCTTTTTTTGCTTTCCACTTAAATTACTAAAATATAAATTTTAAATGATTCCGCCAATTTAAAACGAAAATAATCTTAAAAATAACGCGGCGGTTCATTTTGGAGGAACGGTAACGAACTCAGTGTTATGTTGTGCCCATCACTAGTCGTGACTAACTGATAGGTGTCAGGAACGCATTCTCTGAACGGCCGAACTATAGATTTAAACTCACAAGTTTGCTATCATAGAGTGACCCTTCTGTTCTTGTACTGTTATTTATTCTATGCTTTAACTAAAATCTACAGCTGTTTATGTCAGTTGTGAAAATGAAGCCTACCCTACTAACCCTTATGTCCGTAACGGCCTTGTTGCCGGTGTGAGTAGATAAATATGTGTGACTGTACGGATATAGCCGCATCCAAAATTTGTATGGAAAATTTACTGCATTTTTATGACAATTCAGTATCGGGTACCGAGCGCGAACGTGTTAATAATTAAAATTCTTATTATTGTTTACTTATATACTTATCTCACTTATATAACTTATTAATTAAATTTTATATATATATATATATATATATATATATATATATATATATATATATTTAAAATTTAAATAAAAACCTTTGTATTTTCGTTGCGAACAGTTACTGGATTTTTTAATTTTTAATGATTTTTTATTTGCTTTTGAACATATCTGATTTCTTTATTTACTCTAAGATTAACAACAAATTGCTTGACGAACTTATTTACTAATGACAATACGTCACAGACTTAATTAGTGTCAATTTGGCAAGTTGGGAAGGGGGTAATGATATGACAATATGGTTGTTTGCCAGGTAGATCGTCGCTCGCAGCACTAGATTTATATATTTTACGTTTGGCGTAAACTAGATAGTTATACCGCCATCTATCGGAAGCCATAGTATAAATTTTTCCTGGCATTTCCGATGGTTGCTACTTGTGACATCCACGGGATGAAATGCAGTCAAATTTTCTTGCGTTTACGTCACACATTAACGATTACATTTTTATGTTATACAGGTATTACAAGCAGGTGCGTGGCCGCTAGGTGGCGCAATGGCGCCGCTAGCGCCACCTGCACAACTGGAGCGGCCGGCGAGACTGTTTGAGGCGTTTTATCGAGCCTCTTTCAGTGGAAGGAGACTCGCGTGGCTTCATCATCTCTGCACCGGTGAATTACGTACGCGCTATACGCAACGAGTGTACCATATTAGTGCCACTACCCCACAGGTAATTCATACAAAATATTGTAAAATATTGGTTGAATGGTGGTCAAATACCCTTTTGACCGAATTGCTAGGGACGAAAATTTCGCCAAATGTCTTACACCCTCCTCTCTCCTCTTAATTTTTAAAAGTACGTATTGAAAAATATATAAAATCGGTAAAAATCTTTTATAGTCCCTCTCTTTTATACGAAATTACGAAGTTTTCAGAACTTTTAATGCTTCAGTGTTCGTTTATAATATCGAAAATATTTAGTAAGAGCTGAAGAAGTGAACGCTGATTTTTCTTTTTCAAATTTCTACCTCCCGTAATTCACCTGTCCACTCTTTGCTACGCTACTGTGACTAAAATAAAATGTCATATGAAAAAAAAAAACTAAAACGATTAATTATTATTTACGAATGAAATTATTATTTATTAATTTAGTTTTAAATTCTGACTTATCATGTGCTCTGTATTGACGGAAATCTGCACGTCTGACGAATGAAATATCTCAAGGACAAACATGTGTACTCAAGGATTGCTATCATGAGAAAGATTTTACGTGATAGAGCCATGCTGCATCCATATTGTGGTTGCAGCACGAATGGGTCGGCTCGTCTGGGGCAGGACTGTGCTCATACAGAATAGCAGCTTAATGTTGCTGTGTTTCGTATGGTGAGTGTAGAGAACCGGAGACCGCTTTTACTGGAAACGAGGCTTTTCATCTCAGTCCTCAGGGGTCACAACGCATCTGCATTTTGATTTTGAATTGAGGATAAATGTAGATGTCTGTGGGTCACAGCAGCCACTTGCCATCAGGTGGACTGTGTGAGTACACAGTCCACCTGATTTTGTCACGCATAGAATATATAAAAGAAGGAAATAATGGAGTGACTTCCGCAGTGTGCGCTACTGCTGATGTTCGAGAATGCGGACAGTGTGAACGCTCGGGAAGCGCGCGAGACGCTGCAGCTGGGCGGCGAGGCGTGGGCGCGCCACGTGCGGCCGCTGCTGGACGCCGGCCTGCTCACGGCGCGCGGCGCGCTCGGGCCCGACTGCGAGCCCGACGCCGACGGCGAGGCCGCCACGGCCGAGCTCGCACTCAACCTCGCCTTCAGCTGCAAACGGACCAAGTTGCGTCTCACCTGTGCGGCGGCGCCGGCGAATCCCGGTAAACTTTCATCCACAACTCAATGTGAAGCTGTCAACTGTATCCGATATAAAATATCACGGATTCAAAACCGGTTCCTAACTTGTTCGTGCACAGTCTAAAAAAAACATACAGTCAGTCATCGCCTTTGCTGTTTCATAAAAGCCGACATCGTCTAGACTTTCGTCGAATAAAATTGCTGGGGTTGTCACAACGAGAAATAAAACTATTTTTTTATTCCAAATGTACTACTAGTAGCAGTACACTTATATACAAGGTTATTTTGTAATAACCAGCCAAATTTGCAGAAAAAGTTCAAAATAAGGAATATAGGCAAATGTGAAGAAAAATTAATAAAAAAAAATCTCAAACTTTCTGCCCTTTTTATCTTTTAAATTTAAAATTCGTGGTAATGCATTATTTTAAATAATTTTACTGCGCACGCACGTATTTGTAGGAGTCGATCGGTTGGCAAAATATTACAGCCCTTCACAAGTCCACTGCTGAACATGGGCCATGGAATGCTACAAAGCACGGTCCTGAGCCACCTGCATCCATCAACATCCTGCATATCTTACCAGATCGTCACTCCATCTATTGGGGGAACGCCCAACACTTCGCCTGCCGGTACGAGGCTGCCACTCGAGAACCATTTTTCCTCATCGGTTGTCGGTTCTTCGAGCTATATGGCCGGCCCACTGCTACTTCAGCTTCCTAATCCGTGGGGCTATTTCGGTCAATCTGGTTCTACTGCGGATATCCTCATTTCTGAGTTTATCACGCAAAGAAACTCCGAGCATAGCCCTCTCCATAGCTCGCTGAGCGAGCTTCCTCATCCGGCCAGCAGTGAAGGACCACGTCTCAGTTCCATATGTCATCACTGGCAACATGACCTCTCGGTCAAAGTTGGACTTACCTAGTCGGACTATTTGTCCCAGGTAAACATACTCGTCAACAACTTCGAGCTTAGTGCTCCCAACAACTACCGGCATAGGTGTAACATGGACATTGAACATGATCTTTGTTCTATCCATGTTCATCTTAAGACCTATCTGTTGGGAAGCACTATTGAGGTCATTGAGCATAGTGCTTAGGTCCTCCAGCGATTCTGCCATAAGGACTATATCGTCGGCAAATCGAAGGTGAGTGATGTACTCGCCATTGATGTTGATACTGTATCCTTTCCAGTCCAGAAGCTTGAAAACGTCTTCCAATGCAGCGGTGAAGAGTTTCGGGGATATGACGTCACTCTGTCTTACACCTCTCTGCAATTGGATAGGTTTCGTACTCTGGGTCTGTACTCAGATAGCCATCGTAGCCCTACTGTACAAGCACTTCAGCACTTCGATATACCGACAGTCAACTTGGCGCCGCTGAAGGGACTGCAGCACCGCCCAAATTTCGACGGAATCAAAGGCTTTCTCATAGTCCACATACGCCAGACATAGTGGCAAATTGTACTCCTCTGACTTCTGTACAATTTGCCGAAGGGTATGTATGTGGTCTCTGGTGTTAAAGCCTTTTCGGAAACCGGCTTGTTCGGGAGGCTGGAAGTCGTCAAGTCTGCGCGCGAGACGATTCATAATGACTCTCGAAAACAGCACGTAGACGCGGCTCAGAAGGGAAATCGGTCTGTAGTTCTTCAAGAGAATGTTGTCGCCTTTCTTGAAGAACAAGACCACCGCACTTCTGCTCCACGCCTCTGGTGTAATGCCACCATGGAGGACGGAATTAAAGAGCTTCAGAAGGACTTCAAGTACCGGTTTTCCACCCGCTTTCAGAAGCTCCTCTGTAATTCCATCCTCGCCTGGGGCCTTGCCGTTTTTAAGGTGCTGGAGAGCTATTCTAATCTCGCTCAGACTGACTTCCGGGATATCATCGGAATAATGTCGGATAAGACTCGCTCATGGATCGTTACTCACACTTGCGTGTGGCTCCAACGATAACGTGTACAGCTGCCCATAGAACCTCTCAATCTCACTCAAAATTTCAGGTGCCCCGGAAACGATGCTGCCACATTCTGTTTTCAGCTTTGAAAGTTGGCTCTTTCTGGCAGACAAATCTCTGGCAAATACTTTGGAGCCTTGATTCCGCTCGATCGCTTCTTCAATACGAGCTGTATTGAAGTTGCGTAAGTCCCGCCGCATGCATTTGGAGATCTGTCTGTTCAGTTGCCTGTATGCTGTCAAATCTGTTGAAGAATGTAGCTTCATCTCCCGTCTAACAACCATGAGATTAAGAATGTGATCGGAGAGTTTTTGTGTTCTTCTGCGGCGGGTCTTGCAGAACTTAGCTCCGACCCCATGGACAGTTTCCACGAGCTTATCATTCATATCGTCCACTTCGTTGCAGTCCTCTAGGTACTGAAAACGGTTTTGTAACTCGAGCTGAAAGGTTTCGGGGCTTTGGATTAGAGCACGAGGGGGACGGAGCGTTGACTTCGATAGACGAGACCTCTCCAACTTAACGCTTAGGTTTAGTGTGCCTCTAACCATTCGGTGATCGCTGCCGGTTTTCACCCTCGCGATCACTGAGACATCACTGAACAGTTGTCGTCTGGTCATCATAATGAAGTCAATCTCATTTTTTGTCGAACCGTCGGGGCTCGACCAGGTCCACTTCCTGTGGGGCCGCTTCTGGAAGAAAGAGTTCATCATAAAGAGTCCCTCTTTCTCCATGAAGTCGGCCAGTTGCTGGCCCCTTGGGTTCCGTTGCCCTATTCCAAATTTCCCTACTTTCAGCTCACCATTCTCTCTTGTGCCTAGTTTTGCATTGAAGTCTCCCATTAACACCGTATATTGGGTTTTGGAGGAATGCATGGCTCTAGAGATATCCTCATACGTTTCCTCTACCTTCTCATCGGGGTGTGCCGAGGTTGGTGCGTAAACCTGTATGACCTTCAGCGAATACCGTTTGGTGATTCTGAGTATAAGGTACGCAACCCTCGTCGACACACTCTCAATCTTTACAACGTTATTAACGAGAGACTTGTGGACGATAAATCCGACACCTCCTTGGGACAGATGGTCGCCCTCCCGGTAATAGAACAAGTTGCCGGATTCGAGGATTACCGTTTCCTCCCCCTCTCTTCGGACTTCGGATAATCCTATAATATGCCAGAGTAACTTGTCTATCTCTTCTTCCAGCTCCACAATCTTCTCGTCAGTCCTCAGCGTGCGTGCGTTGTATGTTGCCAGGTCGAGTCGTCGTAGGTGGCAACCGAACCTCCACCGGAGATTCTTAGCACTCCCTGCCCCGCCGTTACCATGGTCACCACCTTAGCCAGGAATAGCGGGGCCGTCTCTTTGTTACATTCATTCATAGGGGTTATTTGCCACAGTTGCCACGCTTGGCGAGCGGATTGTATTTTTGCTGTTATCAGGAAGATGCTGCTGGCCATCTCCTGCCTGTTTCCCTTTGTCGCCTTTTACAACACCCACGGGAAGATATGGGGTAGTGGATATTCTTAACCGCCACTACACGGCATGTTACATGTTACCCATAAATCACATTAAATTTGGGATAATTTGAAATATAAATAGAAGCTTTATTTACTCGTATTTTCAAAAACTGTATAAACGGGTATATCATTATTTATATATTTGAACTTAAATTTAAAATTTTGCTACTTTTTGATAAATAACCCTATATAGGAATGGTTACATTATATAACTTTTGTTGCAGGCGGCGGTGGCAGCGGTAGTGCCACCGGTGGCAGTGGCGAAACGGCGCATTGCGACGACGACCGCAAGATGTACCTTCAGGCAGCGCTCGTTCGCATCATGAAACAACGGAAGGTATTTGTTAAAATATCCGTCAAATTTCCGAATATAAATTCTTGTGTGCTTGTATGGCCACTTCAAATTATTAACGAGGCACTATCTTGCAATTTTTCCTACTTTTATGAAACAGTATTAAATCTCAAAGTTTTTAGGGATTGATCCTTTGAGCCGGATATTTTTAGGTATTTTACACTCACCCATACACATTTTTTTTAACATGGTAGAGCTATGCTGCAGCTATATTAATAGTATAGTTGTAGCACGAATGGGTTGGCTCCACCGGAGTAGGACCACGCTCTCACAGAATACCAGCGTAAAATAGCAGCTTAATGCTGCTGTGTTTCGTATGGTGAGTGTAGAGAACCGGAGACCCATTTTACTGGAAAAGAGGCATTCGATCTTAGTCCTCACGGCTGACAACGCATCTGCATTTTAATTCGCAAACGAATATAGATGTCGATGTCTATGGGCCACAGAAATCACTACCATCAGGTTGACTATGTCCTCGTTTGTCACCCTTATTCTATAAAAAAAGCCTAGTGCGTGTACACAGTAGAAGTCTTTTTGATCAGTTAAGAGCATAGTTTTAATACACAATTGATTACATAAACAGTGTGAAACTATTTAAATATTTTTATAATGTTTAATTTTCCCCAACGTTTTTCCAGGTGTTGCGTCACACAGAACTAATTCAAGAGGTAGTGGCTCAAGCGCGAGGCTCTTTTGCGCCGTCTGTTGCCATGATCAAGAAATGCATAGAGGCCCTTATAGATAAACAGTACCTTGAACGTGCCCCAGGAACTTTGGACACGTATTCATACCTCGCGTAGGACTAACTAGACCTTTGCTCTACGTCCTACGTGTAGACAGCAAAGCGTAAAAATGCAAATGGGGAAAAATGAGCGCTACAAATCACGCACCATAACAGAAAGATTAATTAATTATGTTGCTTACTGTTTTTGTAGGACTGTAACTGGACTTGCGTATTTAAAGATTTTTACATAAATAAAAAAAAAACGATAAACTAAATAGTTGTCAACAGACGACGTTGGATGAATTAAATATTATAGGGATGTCCAAAAGTATCGATATATTGTATCGTATTGCGTTTGAACCGATACATGATATATTCCTTGTATCGATTCATACGATATTTTGTATGCAACATAACCTGCTATACAATTTCCACCATTATCTGTCTATTTATAAAAATAATGTAATATTCGAATTTACTGGTGGTGTGATTGTAAGTTCATGTTGCGTCAATCAAATAGCACAGTGTTGATTTCTAATAAACCAAAGCTGTTAGAATTTACGAAGATATATCTAAAATAATTTGAACAAAAGTAGTCTATGAAATATGCTAAAATTTTACTTTGCAAAGTGTTTGGCATCCCTATTTATGGCAGGCAAATGAAGCCGAGTTTACAAAAAGCAATATTTAGTACGTCAGAAGTACTTATAATATTTTTAGATTACATATGAATTTAAAATTGTTCTCATCCTACCTACTTCTAAATAACAATTGGGTTTGATATAGCCCATGTCATTAAGCAGTAATTTACCTAAATATTGCACATTTTATAAAAGTGATCTTCATTTTTACCATACAAAATGGTTCATTTTCAATAATGAATGTATAAATTTTGTAACCATTTGTCTTGTTGTACTAATAAAATCATTCAAAATAAATATTGTGTTCAATCCGCGTGTCTACTAGGAGTTATCAATCTCCCTAAACATAACAAATTGTAACCATAACTTGATATTTGTAAACCTTTGATTGAGTTTTATTTTTAATAATATTGTTACATAAAAACCAAAGTACAATGGACTTTTTCGCTAAACTACTACTACTTTAACTACTTTAACGCATCGTTTGGATTGAAATTTGGAATGATTTTGATTCGATATATTCGAATTAAATAATAACTGGGCTATTTATTATTATTAAATATTGCAAAAAATTTTATCGTACATCATACTACAGTTTGGATCACATTATATTGCAAATTATGCCAAAATATCAACCCGCAATATTTTCAGTTGTTGCTTTGGTTATTATGTAACAATATAATGAATATATGTAACAAAGCTATAAGCCGTGACTCAGGATTCCATTCAGGTCCAATACTTTTATTATTCATGAACGACCGGAGTTTGATTTCCGACGACTGCATGTCTAGAACTAACTAACTTTAAGTGCTAAAATATCACGTGCTCAGGGTAATGGAAACCTTAATATGGAAATCTGTATATTTGAGAAAGTAATACATGGTGCAGCGTGGCGGATTTCCTACTACATTACCGTCTCAAGAACAAAAGGCCTATGCCCAGCTAATAATATATAGGTTATTATTTTATCAAGACGGAGTCATGAGGGAATTGTTGTATATTATAGGCTAACATAGTTTTAATGTAGAGTACAATAAAGTGCAATCTGTAACGTCACCGCATTGCATCTCAAATTATAATTTATGTATTAAAATATTGTTTAATAAATATTGTACGGATGCCGTTTATTAGTGTTTTATTTCATTTACACTTACACGATAAACTTTAACCACATTCTAAAGACTTAAAGACCATAATATGACCTTTATTATAAAATTGTCGGGCAAGGGTTGGTGATCATGTTTTAGGCGTGAGACACCTTTAACTACAATTGTCAATTTAATAGTAGCCCGCATAAGATAGTGGCGTAACTCCAGCAGTGATTGAACTGTATAGTGTATACTGTCCTCTGGTGTGGTTGTGTCAAGATAATCCATTTTTATTTCAAAATCGACAAAGGCAAGTCAGGATGACCTTATGGCTAGTGATGCCTTTTTTTATAGGATAGGGTGACAAACGAGCACACAGTCCACCTGATGATAAGTGGTTGCTGTGATCCATAGACATCTACATCTATCCTCAATAAAGAATTAAAAGGCAGATGCGTTGTCATCCGTGAGGACTAAGATGGAATGACTCTTTTCCAGTAAAAAGGGTCTCCGGTTTTCTACACTCACCATACCACAGAATACTTTTACTCCTAGAGGAGACACCATACGAATCACAGCAATGTTAAGCTGCTATTTTACGCTGGTATTCTGTGAGAACGTGGTTCTTCCCCGGTCGTGCCAACCCATTCGTGCTACAACGATACTATTAATATAGCTGCAACATGGCTCTACCACAAAAACCATTTATAAGGTATCGATAATTCACATGCTGCACAAAACCCCATTACTTGCTTATAAAAATCCACCATTAAATCCACAATAGAAAATCTATAAAAATGAAGAACCCGAATGACATGAAGACATGGCTTAAAAACAAGCGTCCAAGCCAAAGTCTTAAAAAAAATGATAAAACAGGAGCAATCTAAAAAAAACTTCTTTAGTATCGCTGTATCGTTAGTTGTTCTTGATGCCGTCTCCACTAATAGCTCATATACGCTGACACTTAATTCACAAAACGCACAATAGTTGAGATTTACAACATTTTTTTTGATACAAGTGGTAAAATTTAAAATTTTGTACAACCGACTTAAATATAAATTACTAAGCATAACTCAAAAACTAGTGGTCAAACCTTGATGAAATTTATATGAGACCACATGGGTAGCACCAGGTTTCAAATTAAAAAAAAAAATCATCGAAATGGTTCAGGCGTCTTCAAGTAATCGGTGCACATGCATAAAAGGAAAGAACCTGCTCCTTTTTGAAGTTTGTTGAAAAAGGATTTGTGACCATAAAGCTTAGTCAAACGTATATTTTGTTTAGTAACTTTTTCATAATACGTATGTGTTGCGAAGATTTTGACAACATCTACACAATATAACCTACATGTATATACGAGTTTTTACTCTAAGAAGTCTGGAGTGAAACTCATTGCACCATTTATCGGAAAGGATAGTACAAGTCTGCCAGGCCAGCTAATAGAAGAAAAGAAGAGCGACAATCCGCCTACCGTCAATTTCACACCACATTAATTAATAAGTTAATATTGAATTAATATCAATTTAACAAACACTTAGATATTCGAGATGACATCACAGTAATGATAAAATGTGATATGTAAGATAATAACGAACATTAAGTCAATCAAACATTAAATACAATAATTAAATGGTTAATAAAAACAATCTTAAAATAAATATGAACAAAACAAAAATAATACCCTTTTACCAAAGAACACAACCCAAAAATCTTGGTAACCAGAAAGCATGCCTGTATAACAAAATTATCATACTTTTGGGGTTATTATTATCATCTACGAATACTGATAATTTGCCCGCGTTGTTGATCAAGTGGTCGTAAGCGCGGACGCTGTTCATGTGGTGCTGGGTGCGAATCCCGGGTTAGGCGAAAAGTTTAGATGCAGTCTTTGAAATGCATGTAGTCATTTGTCCTGCGGCTAATCTCCATCCGGTTAATCGGATTGCCATCACATCGGACTTGAGAGGAGGAGGGAACAAGGAGTGTACTTCTGCTTTTGCTGACACTCGTGCACTATAATCCTGTTCTGTTCAGATGGGTGGTCTCTGTTGAAACTGACGTGGCATAAATTCGAATTGATATTACGAATATTAATCAATAGTACTTATGACTGTACTATTAGCTCTAAAAAGGAATTTGATGTACTCATAGCTAACTAAGCTAAGCTAAGTAAGCTAGTTATTCAGAATACCAGGTTTGTTTGTATGTTGGAAACAAAATACACTAAAAATTTTTCGTTTTACGTTATTATTTTTTAGATACTAATTATGGGAAACTCAAAAATAAGGTGTTGTTCTACTCTGTTGTATTTGCGCTTAATTACTACCACTGACGAAATTATGTAGACGTTTGTTATGAACGTGTAAATGTTATCGAGTAATAGGACAATGATGAAAGGTATTAAGTAAGGATTTTTACTTTGTGGACAAACGAATATGTTTTACATATTACAGTATTATTTATAGAAAATAATTACGTAACTGTTAATGTATGGATTACAGAACAGTCGGCACGTGTTTGTTTTTCAATAAATGTATGATGCAAGTGTATCATGGAAGAGGATAAATACAAAGTTTTAGGACAGCGGTTCATGTTATTTTCTAATTGTAACGCTCACAATGAACACTCTCATCGTCCTTTGTTCTGTGTTGGCACTACTGCAGGTACCTTTAACTATCTATAAATACCTAATGCATAAATACTCAAACTCTGTTCAATTTTAAGATGCCGTTAAGACTCGTGCTGTCTTTATCACTTTAAGTCAAAGTGATTGTGACACCACGAGACAACAACATATCAAAATTGAGCAGCGTTTGAGTATTTGACCATGTCTTTTATTTTCTACCGACTTCAAAAAGGAGACGGTACTCAATTCGACTGTATATTTTTTATACGTGTTACCTCATAACTTTTTTCTAGGTGAACCGATTTCAATGATTTTTTTATTATTTGAAAGCTGGTGCTTCTCATGTGGTCCCATATAAATTTGATTATATTGAATTATATCCGACTTCAATTAATTAATTTATATTGAAGTCGCTTGTACAAAATTTTTAATTTTAAATTATAATAAGTTAAATTTGTCCTTACTAATAAATAATACAACAAATGCTTTGTCTGTTAATGTAAGTTTCGTTTTCATGATTAAAAATTGCAAATTCTGCTACGCAGCGGCTATTTTGATTGCAGCACGAAGGGGTAGCCTCGACCAGGCAAGGACTATGTTCTCACAGGATGCCAGCGTGAAATAGCAGCGTAATGCTGATGTGTTTCGTATGGTGAATGTAGAGAACAGAAGACCTATTTACTGGTAATTAGGCATTCTATTTTAGTCCTTAGGGATGACAACGCATCTTCATTTTGATTCCTTATGTATATGATAGATGTGGATGCCTATGAGCTTCAGCATCCATTTATACCATCAGGTGGATTGTGTGCATGTGTCACCCTTATCCTATAGAATAAAACCTATAACTACAATGACTTTACTTACTAAGTGCTATTTCCAAAGCGCCTTGCGAGCGCCAATCTGAGGGTTTGTGGCAGGGAAGAGTCTTCCGCCTTGCCTCAATGCGTGTTGGTTGACTTCACATGTCTTTCGATATATATTGCAGGGTTTCCCACGAAACAAAAGCAATCGCATTTTTCTTACAAAAATATACCTTTCAGCAAGCCTACGCGCAGTGTTTGCCAACGGCGTACTGTCTGCCTGCACCTACGCCGGCTCCAGTTTGTCTGCCCGCTCCAGCACCATGTCCGATTGTCTTACCAGGGGCTCCCGCCTTACCGCCGGAACTAGCTGCACTTATCCCATTATTATCTTCAACACTGTCGGCTTCTCTAGCGGCTACTCTACCACCACTTCTAGAAGCAGCACTGCCGACAGTGCTGTCGTCTGCTTTGGCAGCTGCTGCTCCTCTGCTAGCTGCAGCCTTACCTCCGTGCGCATCGTGCCTACCGTGCTCATCGTGCGTACCGTGCTCACCGTGCACAACGTGCAGTCTACCAGCAACAACGTTAGTGTACTACTAAATGTTTACCTTTACGACATTTTATAAAATAAAACAATTTAAAAAATATTTTTAATACTGTTTATTTTTAAAGCTTACCTCTAAAATTAGTATGAAATTCAAATTTATATATTATAGGTGCTAATAATTGATGTTTTTCGGTTCATAAATATGTATGTGAATTTGTAATAAATAACAAATAAACTACCGTGTCGAAACGGTGTAGAAATATCTATCCACTACCCCATATCATCCGGTGGGTCTCATAAAAGGCGACACATGGAAAGAAATCAGGAGATGGGCAGCAGTTTCTTCCTAATAACGACTAATAATAATAATAATAATCCCAGTCAGCCTCCCGGGTTATCTGAGGCGACTGGGACTCCGTGACGGACCGCTTCAGGCTCAAATGCAGAAGGCGGTGCTCCTCGATACCGCCCGCATCGTCCGCCGGTTTCTTTCCCTTTCCCCCTAACCCTCGGCCGTCTGGTCTCCCCTGCCGAGGGCTTCCATCTGGTTGGGTTTTTATATATTTATGTATTTTTTATGTATTTATTTTATTTTATTCATATTTATGTATGTTTACCATTTTCATTTACAATTATATATTTATACTGCCCAACCAGATGAGAAAACTTTATAGATACCCCAAAATAATAAATTTATTAGAACTCAAATAAATGTTACACTTGTTCCGATTGAGCCCTAACTCCTGAACTAGGAATCTTGTATGTCAGGAGCTAGTCCCTTCCATACATTATGCACAAACATTATTAACATTAATTACTAAAAATAAGAAACTGCGGTTGCCAATCGCCCGTTGCCCGCTTGCCGAGCGTGGCGACTATGGCAATCTCTGGGGGAGGTCTATTTTCAGCAGTGGACTTTAATAGGCTGTAATAAATAAACTAAACGGTAGCAGGAATGTAAAATCATAGAATCTCAAAACTTGCAAAAATAATAATTTTGTTAATATATTATACTCATTTATTTAAAACTGTAATAAATAACCTACAAATAGATTATTATTCATCATACCCACAGAACATAATTACTCTCCACCGAAAGAAGAACGCCAACTTCATACTAAAAAAAGAAACACGTGTTTATGAGTGTACACTACAAGCGCCACGGTGGGCGCCTATATAAAACTTTTTAACAGGAATTTCAAAGCTTTATATTCTGTAAAAAAAAAAACATTTTGTTTATTTAAGGCTTTGAGTAATTTTGGCTCAAGCCTGAGAAACCTATTGGGTAATTCCCATACATTTGAGAGCCAAACTTGACCAAAATTACTCGAATTTAAAAACTAAAACTAGGTGCAAATAGTTATGTAATTTTATTTTTTGTAAGACAGATTGTTTTATACACTATACAATTATAATTGATGTTTATGTTTATTAAATAAACATAAGAGTGAAAATTTAACTATGCCCGAAGACGTGATCTGAAACAAAAAAAATCGGAGTCAATATAGTAATAATCTCTACAAATAACGGTCAATAAATTCAAAATCTTTCGATTTACCACAATTATTGTCATAAGTTTTCTTTTCCTATTTTAAGAAAACTGCTGAATGTGATCAGATGATATTGTACTTTTTGTTTGCACAACACTTAATATACGATTCTGATCACACAGCGTGCATAAAATTTTGAATTATTGAAGTAATTTATAATAGGTATCATATGCAGAGTCAACATTTCACAAAAAAATTTTACAGGCACAGTCACAAGAAAATGCCTAAAAACAAAAATGAAGTATTCTGAATTGATAATATTTGCATTTACGGAAAAAGCAATATAATGTCGTGAAGCGACAATCAAAAGAATCTAACCTAAGAACAACAAAACAACAAAATTACAACAAAAACAAAAATATATTCAAAGTTCAAAAATATTTACAATTTTATAAAAAAAGGAAATGAGGATGATGATGAATGAAGTGAGAGTACAATTAGATTACAAAAAAAAATATAAAGGTAGGAGAATAGGGGAATAAAGAGATGTAGTGGGGCCTAAAAGTCGGAGCGATACACGTTGCGATTGTAGAGGTAGGTTTCTTAGCAGCGACGACACGCAGCGCCTGAAGCCAGCACACGCCGGTTGCGCTTGTAGAGGAAAGTTTCTTAGCAGCGACGGCACGCAACGCCTGGAGCCAGCACACGCAGCGTCCGGAGCCGGCGCACGTAGCGCCTGGAGTAGGTGCGCTCAACGCTTAGAGCCAGCAGTTGCAGCGCCCAAAGGTAGCGCCGGCGGTAGGTGCTCTCGGCGCCTGGAGTAGTGTGGCCCCCGCGCTTGTAGTAGACTCGAAGCGACTTCCGAGGTAGATGGAGGCTTGTAGGATTCCGGAGTGGTGTGGCTCCGCGTTTGAAGAAGGCTTCGCCGAAGACTTCACGTGTAGGTGGAGGCTTGCAGGATCCCGGGGCAGTGCGGCCCCGGGATAAGGCCTTTAGGAGATACTTCTAATTCGCGAACTGAAGCGAGACTGCCTTTCTTCACCGATTGTTCGGCTTTTATACATTTCTAGAGAGAACGGAAAAATTATTTAAGTTAAACGCAAATTTTTTGTAAATGGTCAAGAGAAAAGAGTTTTTATGTGGAATTATCGAAATAGGAACAACAGATCGGTAGCAAATTTGAATATAATTACTATGGAAACGAAATAAATAACAATGACAAAACATGTCAAATTTTGGTTTTAGGTTTATAATAAGAAAATGGTAAGATTTAAGTGGAAAATGAGATATTATTGATATAGGAAAAAAGGTAGCGCAGCTGCCCACACAAAGTCCAAGATTGTAGAATTACGGAAAACTAGCTAAAAGATCGAAAAAAGGTAGACTCCATTGACACCAATTTAAAAGTGCTGATAATGTGAAAATACGAAGTAGAAATGATTTGTTATTGTGTTCTTATGGTTTAAAATCGTTACAGGATCCTATGGAAATAAAGGTGATGTAAAATATCCAGTTTTGAGGTGAATGCAGAAAATCAAAAAAGAATGGAAAAATGAATTTAAAATAATGTAAAATGATATGTAAGTAGCATAACACTACATTTTCCCCCCGACCCTGGAAAATTTTTGACTCAGCAAAATTTTGATATATACAATCTAAAATAAACCATAAAAACACAGCTTTGCAGAAACAGACATCACCAGGCAAAATCAGATATACTATCTCTTACATTCATCATCTGCCATTCAGGTAAGGGTGGAGTTCACATTCAATGACTACCACTCTAAAAGTGTGTTTTCAAAACGACATTAAGGCTTATTTAAGGAGTAGTCATCCGCTCATGCGTGGAAAAAAAAAATAAATTAGTCGAAGAAACACCACTCTTAAAAGTGTGTTTTCGAAAGGACATTCAGGCTTATTTAAGGAGTTGTCATCCGCTCCTGCGTGAAGATAAAAAAATTATTAAGGGAGTAGTCAACCGCTCCCAAGTGAAGATAAAGATAAAGAAATACCTCAAGTAAGCTTTAGTCGCTATGACTTAAGTAAAGATTAAGAACGGCCAGAGCGGTAGGGCTCAAAGCCAGAGAACAGCAACATCACCAACGAGAAGTGTCTGAAATAAAAATAAAAAGTGACGATTAACCAACGAAAGTTCGAGGTCCTAAAGCAAGATGTGTTGAAGAACACTGGATCATCAAACAAACAAACAAATTAAAAGAAATAAAAATAATAAGGTGAGAATGATGGTGATATTTATACATATATACAAATTAATAGTTAATAAATGTTTAGATATTTATACATATATACAAATTAACAGTTTCTAAATGCTTAGAAAAGTTATGAATCGTCTCGCTTCAGCTTTGAAAAACAATTTTATATAAAGTGTAAAGTTCAAAGTTAAGTTTAAGAAATAAAGATTTAATTGAAAAGTTATACCTCTTTAAGTTACCTAGAATAAAAATATTAAGGTGATGAATGTAAGTGTTGTGTGAAATGTAGGTCTAAATATAATCCAGATAAGTTGAAAAACTAGATGAAGTTTTGTTCTAGAATAAAAATATTAAAGTGATGAATGTAAGTGAAGTGTTAAATGTGGGTCTAAATATAAGCCAGATACGTTGAAACACTAGATGAAGTGTTGTTTTAGAATTTGGAAGATATGAAAAGGGTGAATAAATAAAGAGTTAAGAACGAAAGGGAGAGCAATTAAATCAAAAGGGAATGGACAAGGCGCAGTAAAGATGAAGAATTAAGAGAGAAAGAGGACTTTTACGTTGGGCGCCAAATGTCGTGAAGCGACAATCAAAAGAATCTAACCTAAGAACAACAAAACAACAAAAATACAACAAAAACAAAAATATATTCAAAGTTCAAAAATATTTACAAATTTATAAAAAAATGAAATGAGGATGATGATGAATGAAGTGAGAGTACAATTAGATTACAAAAAAAAAATATAAAGGTAGGAGAATAGGGGAATAAAGAGATGTAGTGGGGCCTAAAAGTCGGAGCGATACACGTTGCGATTGTAGAGGTAGGTTTCTTAGCAGCGACGACACGCAGCGCCTGAAGCCAGCACACGCCGGTTGCGCTTGTAGAGGAAAGTTTCTTAGCAGCGACGGCACGCAACGCCTGGAGCCAGCACACGCAGCGTCCGGAGCCGGCGCCCGTAGCGCCTGGAGTAGGTGCGCTCAACGCTTAGAGCCAGCAGTTGCAGCGCCCAAAGGTAGCGCCGGCGGTAGGTGCTCTCGGCGCCTGGAGTAGTGTGGCCCCCGCGCTTGTAGTAGACTCGAAGCGACTTCCGAGGTAGATGGAGGCTTGTAGGATTCCGGAGTGGTGTGGCTCCGCGTTTGAAGAAGGCTTCGCCGAAGACTTCACGTGTAGGTGGAGGCTTGCAGGATCCCGGGGCAGTGCGGCCCCGGGATAAGGCCTTTAGGAGATACTTCTAATTCGCGAACTGAAGCGAGACTGCCTTTCTTCACCGATTGTTCGGCTTTTATACCTTTCTAGAGAGAACGGAAAAATTATTTAAGTTAAACGCAAATTTTTTGTAAATGGTC